CAAACACACAGACACACAAACACACAGACACACAAACACACAGACACACAAACACACAGACACACAAACACACAGACACACAGACACACAGACACACAGACACACAGACACACAAACACACAGACACACAAACACACAAACACAGATTCTTTCTCTCTCACTCTCTCTCTTTCTATGTACGCGGTGTACCAGCCAAATTGCCCAACCCCAAAGCCTGAAGGGCACGCATCACAGCGGGTGCGCCTCAACCGCGGCAAGTTAGCTATCTGCGGCTCCAAGCTGGGTGGGTGGCTGCTGGGGATGGCTGAATTTGAGGGGAACTGACATGGTCCCAATGGCACGTGCAAACTTGTCCCCGTGATCTGATAGAACAGCATTGGCCGATCAAAAGCCTGGCTCCGCTGTCCCGAGACTGGGAAGCCAGGGGTAGGTGCCCGGCATAAGGTTGGGTATAAACCCCGCTGAGCAGGGATCGCAGAGGCTGGCGCCGCTGCTGCTGCTGTAGCCTGCCGCTTCGATTTTGGCTTGCCCAAAGCGAGAAGGGCAAATGGGCGTAACATCAGAGAACGCTGTTGCTGCTCTGTCGCCTTCACAAGTCGTTGACAGCCCCAACAATGCCCTTGGGAGTTGCAACATTGGCACACAGGACCTTGGCACGACATTTCCCCGCCTGGTCGGCATGTCTCGCATTTGCTCCGGCCAGGCATGGCTGCGGAACGACCGGGCTCGCAGTCCTCAGCTGGATGGCCCAAGGGCTGCCGAAATGCTCAGCTGATCCAGCCCCGTTGAAAAGGATGCTAAGCTTCCATTTGCTTAAGCCCCCTGGAAAGAAAATATCCAATAGTGATAGATTCCACTTAAAACCAACAGGGCGAGACAAAAACTATTCTTAAGCAAATGGAAGTAAAGCCTGCTTCCGCGGTGCTAGGCAGCGAATCCCGTCAGGCGACGGGGAGAACTGGCCCGGCTGGCAGGCTACACACTGATACGCCAGCCTGGCCAAAAAAGTTGGGCAGGTTCTGCTGTAGTTTCCCCGTGGCCAAGGGAGAGAGAAAAGGATGCGGGGAATCCAACAAGAAGTGAGTCAGAATCATTTGGTTTGTGTTATCAACAAAAACGCCGTGAAACACATTAAAGGGCAGCCGCCCCCATTTTAAATGGGACATGTCGGGACTGTTCCTTACTATCCTTCACCTACCCAGTGCTACCCAGGTTTGTAGTGCGGGTTTGAGAAGAGCCTTCGCAGCTTCGCTTCAGCCATCAAGCTCCCTGAATGGCCCGGCATGCTCATCAAGCCCTAGAGACTGGACAGCGACGCCTATCGCTTGCATTCGCAATCGGCTGCGTGTTCAGCAGGAAGCCTGTCCAGTCAAGCAGCATGGCGTGCAAATTGAGTGCTGCTTCCGTTGATGTCCACTTTGTTTCGGCAGGGCTCCGACATGTGCCTTTGGTATCGGCGGCATGCACGTCCGGCTGCCAACAAAAGAGGTAAACAAAGGCAGCAACCGGAACACGTCCGGCTGCCCATGGGGCACTCGGCACCCTTGGCACAATCGGCCTGGCTTGCACTTGTGGCACAGGCGGCAGCTGAAGGGACACACCGACCGGAACTTCTCGAAGGCATTGCCAAAGGAGGCCGGCGCCTGAAGCGACAAACTAGTGACCCAATTACCTTGGCGGCGATCTATTCAACCGCCCTTTAAGGCCAAATGGGGTCCCATTTTCAGCGACAGAATTCCTGATCGTTTCAGCCGAGCGTGGAAGCCCCTGGGGTGATGCGGTAGGCTCCTCCAGCCATGCACCTTCTTAAACAATGACATAAACTAATGATGATGCAACCCTTGAATGGCCTAATTGCAAGGGATTGGGCCTGCGAGACACCGAAGCGCCACTACCGTTGCAATTTACAGTAGTCAATCAATGGCTGTGGGTCAAAAATAGATACCTGGCAACATGGACTAAAACCTGGTGGTTTAATTTTGACCCATACCCAAATAGCTACGAGCTGAGGAAACGGTCGTGCCACACGCAACATCCCCAAGCCTCGTCTCCCAAATGATCCCGGAATCTCCGCTCCAAAGTCATGTCGCTGCCTCAAGGATGGAGGCTGTGCAAAGCCACGAGGGGCAAAGGGAAATGGAAAAAGAGGGGAAGAACAATGATTGCAAGCGTAGTATATGCTTCAGCGCTGCTTCGAGGCTGCCGTCAAAACGGAGAAAAAAACAACTCCAACAAAGCAAACACCACATGCCAACTGCATGACAGGTCGCATACATCCTCTGCGGTGTCACTGCTGGATGTGTAGAAAAGGCAGCTCCGAAAGTCCTCATGGTCAACACGTGAAGCAGAGCTGTAGCCAAAACCCATCAGTGAATAGAGGGGTCTTGGTCAATGACATTAGCCTGGGCATGTGCAAACACCGAGGCCGACAGGATCCTTCTGGACGGTTGGTGCCAAGATGTGACCAACAATGTGGGTCAAGGCGGTCTCCGTGGCATATCGCATCAGAACTAAAACCCTAAAACTACCCGTACTTGCAATAGACAATGCCTGATCGGCGGAAAGTGCTTCAATAGTCTCCTCATCTGCAATGGATGGCAATCAAGATATGGCACACCCCGTTTCGTTGTAGTCTTCTCCAACATGTTTCCCTTCTCACCGAAGCCGTGATTTCTCAACATGCAACAAAAGGACACTGCACATTCCAACCAAAACCCCGAAAGATTCTATGTTTGTGGGTTCCTGTTCGTGGGTTGATGGGATCGCTTTCAGGTTCTATGCTGGACAACTCTCTCAGAAGTCGGGCAAAAAGTAGAGGGCTGCCCACCCAGCGGCCCGCAACTAAAACGACGCATGCACACATGCGCTCGCAGCCTGCTGCCCAGGTGCGAGCTCAAAATCTTCGCATGTTTGCAAGAGCTTGTCTGCAGCAGGCTCTGGCACTTTGCATAGACCGCAGGCCCTTGGGCAGTAGAACCTTGCCTCAGCAGCCAAGCCCCTGCCTGCTACAGGCATTCTATAAACATCGTGCCCAGGAAGAAGCATGTCCACCCCAAGCCTCATGAACAAAGCCATCCCGGCCGTTTCGCTGGCCTCGGAGGCCCCCCACAGAGCGCCAGCGTGGTTTACGTGGAAAGGGTCGCACGAAATGGCACCCGCGCCTTCAACCGTTTCCACCTAAAGGGTATTAAAGGAGGCTGCTAAGCTTCCTTTACGCCAGACTATCTGCGGATCGCGGAAAAACATGGAAGCCTCCGAAAAGGCATGGTCGAGACTCAACTTGGGACTAAGCCCAGGGCAAGCCCCAAAAAATACCTTTCCTCTGAAATACATTTGTCAAATCACAACTTTGACGCTGTCCAACTGGTCCGATATAAAACATCTGCAGTGCAGAAGCATTCCGCGCTTGCCGTCAAAAAGTTCGTAGAATTCAATGCTGCTACGACAGCTCCTGCGGATAGACAAAACCGGCAAGCCCATGCGGGGGCTAGGAGGCGACAAGGGGCCAACGCCATAACAAGAGCAGCGCCTTGCACGTTGCCCGCCGCTGTCTGCAGGCCGAAGCGCGACGTGGTTGCAACCACCCTTGTGAATGCCCCGTATGCCACACTTGCCGAACTGGTCCTCGAAGAGCGGGTTGTCCTCCCGGTCATGCTTAGCACTTTGACGCCTATGCCCCAAACACATCAATGACATGGGGAGAGTGCTGAAACTGTTCCTGGGCCTTTCCAAGAAGTCACTTTCAACCAAGAGTAAATCAGCACGAAGCAATCCCGACGGACCCTAGCCCCTACATTCTCACATTCCATTCCATACTCCTCCCCCTCATGCTGTTTGGGAGGGCCCTCTACAATTAACTCATTCCTGTCGACCCTCGCCTCGCATTGCTCGCTGCGCTTTCCACCGCCGCAGGCACAACACCTGCAAGGCAGCGCTTGTTGCAAATGTTCATGAAATATTACTGCATCCTCCATCTCGAACCCACAACAGCCTGTCCCGATCATGCTACGCACTTTCCTGCTTGCTGCCACAGGGCGCTTCCCGCGCTGACAAGCCCAGGTACCTGGAGCGCGGTGGAAAGGACGGTGGGTCAACACATTTCATGCGAAACTGCTCACACAAGCTCCCATGCCAGCAGCAGTGAGTAGAGGTTTCAGCGGAATTGCAGCATCAAAACGTCCATTGGCCGGCAGAGCATGCATGCCAAACTACAGCCACTTTGGCCAAAGAGCGCCCCTGGGCCCTTTCATGAGAAATCAATTCTTTCGAGGGGGTCGCCAAAAACAACAACAACTTGAAAAACCCCTAGTTTATGTGAACCATCTGGCAGCAACAGGCTCTTGTCGTTTTCCCCCTGATGGAAAACACACAGTGCCCATTGGTCTTACCTCCAAGAACCCCAACCCAGAACGCGCATCACGCCGTCTCTCGCAAGGATCATGATTTTCCACGCGCATCTTCTGCCCAAAGCACAGCGCTCAGGGCAGATGTGCGCTGGGAAAGCAGATCGATGATTGACGTTATCCTACGTTATCCCGATTACCCTCCCACCAGCTAACATGGAAGTGCGCAGGCCCCTTCGAAAGGGCCTTTTTGCACTTCCATGTTTGTTGGTGGGAGGGTATTCGCCTTGGGGTCGCCAAACATTTGCCACTCAGTCCTCGGCGAAAGCCGAGACACAGCCAGTAGATCCTATGATTTCCAACGCTGTTTGTGGGGTCCCTTTGTTTTTCAAGCCAAAAAATACGCAATATGCGGATCTTCCGGGCCCAAAAGCCGCGCCTGTAGTCATCAAATGTGCCGGTGCGGGTGATATATGAGCCCCACTTGGCTCCGTAGCCTTCTTCCTGTCAGGGCCGCCACAGCAGTCGGAAGCAGCTCTGTTGCAGCTCGAACCAAAGCCAATGCTGCATGAAATCTCAAAGCACATCATATGGCCATGCCGTACCCCCAGTGAACATCCCAATCCCCACTAAAATCCGCCGACGCCAGTCGAGCGTGTAGATGGCAGTCCGCAACTTGGTCTTCCTTCGGATCTCTTATCAAAGCCGAAGGCTTTTGGGGCTGCCATTTTTGGGCATGGTGTGCTCGGTGTCCAACACCCTGTAATTTTCCAGTGTTTTCGGGGCTGGCGTGCTAAAAATATGCGTTTCGCCTAGGTCTCTAGGGGGAGGGGGGAAGGTTTCCCCCGGACGCGCAGGATCTGCATCCCCAGCATCGTCAGGATTTCATTGCTGCTAGGAATTTGTCTTTTTTTTGGCAGATACTAATGGTGTTTTGCTGTTTCAAGCGATGTTGGGATCGGCCTGTTAGGGGTCTGGGTGGGGCCAAGTGCAGTGATACGTTGAGGAACTGTTTGAATTTGCAAAAATGTGTGTTTTTTGCAATTCCCCACCTGAACGGAGCAGTTACTGCGAAACATCCCCTGCATTGTCGTGTTTTTGGAAGTCTATTTCTAGGGTATTTGAGGGGGGTTGCTAGTATCTGCGTGTTGGGAAATGTCAAGAAATCATGTGTTTTTTGGACTTTTTTGTGGCCAGCCGGCTGCATTCCAAGCATTCCCCGCATCTCAGCATCTCTGGTATTTTCGGTGTTTGGTCCATTTTGTGCCCTTGCATTTCCAGCATTTATTTATAGGGAAATGTCTGTAAACTGGCAAATTCAGACATTCTATCATCTGGTGCCAACAAGCAAGACTTCCATGAAAAAAAACAAGGTCTTAAATTCCCTTGCACCCCACTGGCGTCGGCGGATCGCGTAGCGATTTCAATAGGTTCTAAAATGGGGTGAATTCACCTACCAACCAAAATGGGATCCCATTGGTTTTGACCCACAGCCATATAATCAATGGTTCTTGATCAACATGATGTAGACCGGAGAGGCTTGATATGTATCTGCAAATCAGAGTGTGTCTGTGTGGCATGCCTTGATTCCCTGTCCCCCGGGCCGTGCAAAGCTGCTTGGCCGTGTAGTCGCGGCAGGTCCATGCAAGGGCTTGTTGAGTGGGGTCAATGACGGTGTCCCTGACAAGCGGTGCCGGACAAACCAAGTCTTGCCAGCTGAGCATTGACTTGGTAAGCAACTACTACACCTGCACATGCGTCGCCACACAAGCACTCCTCAGCAATAATATCAAAAACTCTACTGTACGGGGGGGGGGGTGGAAAACACGCCGCCTGTTGCCAAAGATCGCCTGGCCTGTCTCTCCAAGGGCCTTCGACGCACTGTGGCATGCAGTAGTCCCAGGACATGCCGTCGGCTGTTGTGAAGCCTTGGCAATATGGCGCTTTCTGCCAAGTGCAGCAGGGAAAGGCCATCGGAAACGAGGAGTCTGCTTTCTCAGGCTAAAACCCTTGCGTTCTCCACAAATATGCAACAGGAGCACGCCAGTCAAAGGTGAGGGGGAGCACTTCTAGCAAACTTGTTTCCCAAAAAAGATTGGGCACATGCCCCGTTGCGGACCAAGCAACCTCAACCACCTGAAGCACCAAAGGTCGGGAAGCAAGTGTCAAGTATTTCTTGCTCCCGTGTGAACACACAAAGCCTTCACGATTGTCCATATCAAGAGCGTAGGGAGAGTTTGATTTGCGTGAAAGCTAGTCTAGCTGGGTTGCCGCTGGACAGCGCCTTCCCCCCCCTTATAGGTAAGGCTGCATGAAGATTGTATGAGTGTTGCGCAATACCGAATAAACATGTCTATGAAAACAAGGCTTCGGGATTTGACTAGCCCCACAACACTCAAAGGAGAGGGAAACACAGTTTTCTCAACAACGGGGGAACCCGGGACCTTAAAAGGAACGAACCCCGCCGTGACTGCGACCTCTCCCTTAACTTGTGGGCAGCGCGTGCAACGCGCTGTTTTCCTTGAGCCATGACAACATGTGAACATGTTGTCCAGTCTTGCAACTCGATGTAGTTCTGGGCCATAAATGTCATCGTGATAATTGACTCCCCCCTCATTGACGGCACTGAGGGAGTGTCTTGGGCGCATTACCACGCCAACTTGAAGTCAAGTTTACATCACAACGACTGACGCAAGTTATTCAAGCATCGCCCAGTCACTTGCACACTTTTGGACATTTTGCGGACATGCTGCAGCGCACTAGGCAGCTGCTTTAGCGGATCTACTTTCACGCACATCTTCAAGCTTCTCTGGAAGGTCAACACGAATGCCGAGCAACCTGATGGCATGGTCCCACTTGTTGGGAGGAAGTGCTTTAGTGAAAATGTCTGCTGATTGCATGTCTGTTTGTACATATTCTATTGAGATGCGTTCGCTTTCAAGCTGCTCTGCGATGCAAGCGAGGTTCACCTTGTGCGTGCGTTGTACACAGCGTAGCTTGGATGAGAAACCCTTCTTTGCTACGAGGATGGTCGCCTGATTATCCTCATGGATCTTGAGATGGAATGGTCTGTCCAAGATCAGCTCCCAGGATTCGACTGATGAGTTGCATCTGTCTCTCTATGTGGACGCAAATTTCGCTGGAGAACGAGACGCAAAATCAACGTCCGGAGGTTTCTTGGTGTTGAGTGGTCCACATACGCACTTTCCCCTCGCGTGGGTGTCTAAAAGGCAGACCTCGGGAGATCGACAACCGAGGCGGAAATAGTGTCTCTTGCATACTCCCTGTACCAGGAGGCACTACCTGCGCTCAGCTTATGAACTGTGCCAACTAAGGTGCTGTTAACCGTGCTGTTAATGTAGCAGACAAGCCTATGTAGCTGCTTATCGCAGTTCCTAGACCATTTCTGAACAAAGGAAGCAAGGTCACCAAGCGGCTTGACCAGGTCCGGGCGTGCCAACGCCCCAACCACAAAGCCTTCAACACGCGGCAAGCGGCGAAGCCGAGCTCACCCTCCAAGGCGTCATCTGCGGGGTCTAGAGATCCAGCAAGACAGAATGGAGTGGTGGCATCACGCAACTTTTCAGTTTTTAGCTGCGCAACCTCAAGATATAACGCAACCGTTTGACGAGCATAACCTCGCACGTCGAACGCCATGCCCCCTTTCAATCCGCCCATTGCGGCATTAAGATCGGGTTCAATTGGGTCCTTCGGAGCATTTATGAAAAGGTGATTCCTGCCTAGCACCCGATATATGTCTTCTGGGGGTTCTATATCAACCAGTCTTGTTAACTTTTCCCAGAAGTCTTTATGAAGGTGGCTGGGGCCGGCCAACGTCAAGTCGTCGACGTACGTCGAGAGAAGTAACCCGGACTCCTTGAACCAGAAGTTTCCAGGAAACTCTGCGACTTCACGCCCAAGTTCACTAATGAAACCTTTGAGGTGTGCCTCCCAGAGTCCGCCAGCGTCAGGATGCCCATAAAGAGCTTTAACGAGCAAAACCACAGGTTTCACGAAACGCTCGCGCCACCACCTCGGCCGGAGCTCAGGCGGGAGTGTGATCCAAGTTTGGTACTTGGATTTCAGCAGTGCTTGTACGTAAGCCTTTATAGCGTCCGCTGTTGTGGTGGAGTTCCCTGGCAGGGATCCGTAAGCGAGACAGTTATTAAGACCTTGTACGCTCGTGGGATTTGCTCCCAGTTCTTGGTATACAGCCGCTGCACCATGTTCGTCTTTCGCACAATCTCCGCGATACACTATCCTACCTTTCATCTTTTGAAGGTGCTTTGCGAGCTCGGCGAACTTGACGGGTGCTAGCGACATCAACTGTCCGAAGTGAACTTTTACACTGGATCGTCACGCCTCAGCAGCGACTTGATCGTACTCTCGGACTGAATTTAGATCCCAAACACCGGCTTTTTCCAGGCCCGTGGCTTCAAGTCGAACGGCTTCAAGGGCTTCCGGGGAAGCCAACATTTCGGCACGTGACAAGAGTCTGGTCACCATTGCGGTGATTTCAGGATCCTTCTCCTCCTTGACTTGTCCTAGCCCCCTGAAACACGGCACGAGTGGTGCGAGCTGCAGTGAACCTTTCTGGGGAAACGGGGCAATCCTCGACCTCCTTTGGGGTAAAAAGATTCTGCCTTGGCATGATATGGTACCGAACCAAACAGTTGGCATTTTCTTTGAACACCCAAAAGGGTATGTGTTTTTTTGACGTGGCCGTGCCGGGAGGTTGGTATGAGGGGTATGAATCGCAGGTATGGTTCGGTGTATGGCTCGGGGGTATGATTCGGGGTATGGCTCGCGCGCCTCTGAACTCTTGCTTGTGGCTTTGGACACTGCAAGGCAACTGGATAGCTGTGAGAATTTGGACCGCTTAGTTGCTACAGCCTGGGGCGCTTGTGAGTGGCCTGAACTAGACAGCTGCCATTCTGCGTGAGTGGGTGAGCGAAAGCTGCTGCGCTAGGTGGAAGGCGCAGAGCCACTGCCTGAGGCGAACGTCATTGCCACCTCCACTTGGAGTTCAAGCGACCCGCGTGCTCACAGACCCAAGCAAGCGTTGCTTAAGGGGAGCGCCGCTGCCCAGTCAGGCCCGCCGCCCGCACCAGTCACGAACAAGCGTGAGGGCAAGACAGCGTGACATCCTCACACGGCAGCCGCGCAGAGGCTAGTGGGCCTCTGACAGGTGGTGCTGAGTGTGGATTTCTACGCAGGGGAACCGCTGCGCAAAACTGACACAGTGGTAGAGTGTGGTAGGCTCACGCTTGATACATTGCAGTAAGCCTTCCGAACCCACCTTCTGACGAACTTCCGCGAAAAGAGCCGCGAGCTGGTTCCTGCAGTGCTTCTCTTTGAGTTTTGTGTCTTCTGAGGATTTGGGCGGCATAGCTTCGCTAGTACTGCCCAGAGCGCAAGAGGCTCTTGGCTGCAAATGGCAGCAGAAGGGTATGAATCGGGGTATGAATCGGGTATGAATCGGGGGTATGAATCGGGGGGCAGATTTTTTTTCGACCGGAAAGACACCAAGAGTACCCCAGGAGCACAAGCTCAGCAGCGGCACCCCCGCCACAGCGCCCTGCAAGTCCCAGCGTCTTACGTCAAGCTGCACCCCGCCACAGCACCACGGATGCTACAAACAACACTAGTACCAGGACATCCGCAGGATTGCTCTATAACTCCATCCATTGGCACTTTCCATTGAAAATAGCAAGCCGAGACCGAGGTGGGTAACCGAGTGTCAAGGAACACCACTTGAGCCAAAATGGCCCCCACGAGTAACGAGTGAGTGTGTGAGTGGACATGTCAACTGTACTTGGCCCCATGACATCAGAGCCCAACCATGCAAGCATCGCAGACTCAAGAATAGATCCAGGAACCACAAGTGAACCAGGTTTTACCTCGGAGTCCCTACCCCCAGGCAGCTACTATGTGGTTGGGCCACTGTATAGCCAAAACCGCTATCAGGCTTCTCCATGACCGAGCAGGCCGTGAATCGCAACGCCACAGTTCTTGCAAGTTCTTTTTTTGTGTTTTTTAAGGGGTATGACTCGGGGTATGGCTCGGGGGTATGGTTCGGGGTATGATTCGGGGGTATGGCTCGCCCAAGCCCCACCTCCCACGAAGACTAAAGAACTGACACGGTAAAAAAACACAGACCCAAAAATCTTCACCTTGCGATTAACTGTTCTTTGCTGGCCCGGGGTTCGTCCCCAGATAAGTGCTGGCCTTGAGTAGTTCCAGCCACGGGCCGACCCGGACCGGACTGAAGACCGGACCGTCTGGGACCGGACCGCCCGGACCGGACCGGCCATTCCCTGCTGATGATGAGTCGGAGCTTGCGGCCGATGGCGCTTGTGGGGATGATGAGTACAACCCTCCCAACATTGTGATTGGTACTGGCGGAACACGAATGCCGTCGCCAGCTTTTGGCGGCTGCAAGGGGCATAGGCACTGGAGGTGGCGCGGCCGCAGGCGGAGGTGGCGGAGCCACTTGATTAGCAACCAATTGGGAAAGCTGCTGAACCATTTCCGCTAAAGCCGTCACTTGCACTCTCACATCGGCTTGATCCCTTGTACCGTCTCTATCCAAACCGCTAGCCCTCGACGCGCCGTGGGCTGCGTCTCCAACAGAGGACGCTGCTCCTAGCACTGGCGAATGGCCTACGAGATGTTGACTTGTAGCAACTCCACCAGGGTCCCTTGAATCAGCTGGGGCATCGTGACCAAGGCCTGAACTTTGAACAGAACCACACGGAGGGTCGGGGATGGTACTTGAAATAGCATTCCCTTGCGACGATGCGGCAACACCGGAGGCATCTTGTGAACCTGAAACCTGAGGTGCTCCAACCGGCTGATGGGTTCCTGGAGGAACTGCGCCGCGCCCTGACTTGAGGCTTTAGCCGCACTTGATTCCGTAGCGGTTTCGGCTGTTGATGCGGCTTTTGGCGGGGACTCTTGAATCGGAACAGGGGTCGCACGAGCTTGTTGGGTGAGGCGCGCAACAACACGTTCGAGATCACCAAGTCGTTGATGCATCACAGAATTTTCCTGGGACAATCCACGAATGGTATGCTCTTGACTGGCAATGGTTTGTTCCCTTTGCGAGATTGCCTGTTGAGCCTCTTGAACAATGCGTTGAACCTCCTGCTGAGCGTCCTGTTGAGTGGCATTAACAACCTGCCGTGCGTTCTCGACATGGCCAATGGCTTCCTGTCGGGTCTGCTCGATTAGTTGCCTAGCCTGAGCCTCACTCTGTTGTGCTGTTTGTACAGCCTGCTGGGCTTGCGAAGCTAGCTGAGCGGCTTGAACCCTAACATCTGTTACTTCTCTTACAGCCCTTTCCCTGCTCCATCCGGCCTCTTGTCTCGCCTGGTCGGCGGCTTGCTGTTAGTGTAAGACGTGATTGGCTGCCTGAGCAGCGAGGTCGGATGCTCGATGAGCTTGCTGCACCGCAGCTCCAGCAATAAAGGCCGCAGTCGGTACGTTAGTCATCGGGTCGGGTATTTGTGAGTTTTGAGAAGTTGGGGAAGCTTCGGATGATGTAGGTTCTGACACGATCGGACCACTTGGAGGTGATGATGGTCGTGTTTGGGCTGCTTGTTGAGGTGTGGATGTGCGCATTGTGGACATTGCTGCAGGAACCATGGCTAAGTCAGGGTCATCCGGTTCAGAATCCCTGTTTGGGGTTCATCTTAAACGGGGTTCCGAGGGCGGGGATAAGCCTGTCGAAGCCATGACACAGCAATGCAATTTTGCACTCAGACGAAGCCAGCTCCACGCGCTTTGAGCAGCGTGTCAAAAGGTGCTACGTGGGGATTTCCCTGGATTGGCAGCTGGTTGCGAAACGCTCAAGTGAGCCACTCAAGAAAAGTCGCCCTGCTGCTATGCACCTGATGAATTCTGTACTTGTAATCGTACTTGTGTATTGATTTGCTCGCAATCCCGCACTCTGGTGCTTTATCGAAGGATGTCGCCAAGCTGCTGATGAAAAGTCTGCTAATCGAATGCCTGCAGCTGCAAAGATGCTGTACCGCGCAAAGCGACGCAAAGAAAGGCTATCGAAGGACCCGATTGCCGGGCAATTGGGATGCAGAACGATGGAGCTCCTCGAGATACTGCGAAGGGTGTAGGCCCCTTGCTGCCGGAATGAAAAATCGATTCCGGGACCCGATGAATTCCCCAATGTTTTCAAGAGCTGTGGCTGCGCCTCGCGAACGATGGCAGATTGGTCGTCCACGAGAACGTGGACGCCCAACCCCAAGAGTGCGTCCGCCTTTCCACCTCGGCCGAGTCTCTCGTGCACGATCTTGATCTGAGAGAACGTGAAGCTGTCGCCTTCGCGTGATCCAGGGCGACCTGGAACTCGCGGCGTCGAAAATCACTGGCTGCTCGACCAACAAATGACAGCACAATCAAGTTGATCGGAGCGTAGTCTTCAGTGAATTTAACGAGGTGCTGGATGATCTCGGGATTGAGGTGGGGGCCTTGTTGACCGCCGTCCAATACCCCGTGCCAATCCAGAGCGATGGTCAGCTCCTTGGGTGGCACAGGCCTTGCAGGCGGCGGTGGTGGCGCTGGCGGCGGCCTTCTCGGTGGCGATCGAAAGCGTATGCCGGCCTGGGAAGTTGCAGCGCTTGAAGCAGCTGTTTTAACGACCTGGGGCGGCGGCGGCTTGACGATGTACCCTTGTGGTGGGTTTGACTTGCTTCTGGGTTCGGCCTTGTTCAGACCTCGCGGAGGCGCCTTGTGCCCGAATGCACTCTGAGTCCGAATAGGAGACCTTGCTCGAGGAGGTGATTTTGTAGGAATAACTTCGGAATAACTGCTTTTGCCGGTACCGAAGAAGCTGCACGAGGAAGTTCCTTGGGCAATGGAGGCTTGCTGCCAAAAATGATCTTTGGCGCGGCCTTTGGCGGTGGCTGCACTGTTGTTCCAATCATCCTGGTGTGTGTCGGTGCCTCGTATACGCGCCGAGGCACGTAAGCCGCCCTGCCAGTTGTAAGGGCTTCCGCGTCCTGCGTAGGCTCCTCCTCTGAACTATAGGCGTCGAGGCGATATTGCTCCGCTGGTCCTGGGCGTCGATCTGGAGATCGTGATCGCGAGCTTGTGGATGATCTTCTTGGGGGATCTCTCCACGTCTCGTCCGCAAGCAAATACGGGTCAGCCTGACGGAGATGTCGGGATGTCCGCTGTGCTCGGCGGTCAGATGTCGCCTCACGTGGCTGTGAAGCCTCCCGAACGAGTACCCAAGCGCCGTGCTCGTCAAATCGTGTCACAGGGAATATACTGTTCTGTGGGGCCAAAACAATGGGCCGTGTAGCAAGGGAAGTCCGGGATGGTCTGCCCTCCCGCGCAAGCGCGGGTTCAACACTTTGCGCCCGAGGTTCCACAGGGGTAGCAGCAGTCGGTCCTTGTCTCGGAGACGATGGGGACCTCGATCCTTTGTGGCGATCGTTCCCTGCTGCTCTCCTGCCGCGTTTCCGCAGCTTTAGCGTACACCCCACGAAGTGCTGTCTTGGCGGCACCTCGCAACACTTGTCTTTCCTCTGCAGATGGTCGGAGACGAGGCAATGGAGTGCGGGAGTCCTGCAGCCAGGATGAAGCAGACGGAGGCGTAGGAGGTCGTAACCAGTCCGCAGCACTGCTTGTTGCTCCCGCCGCGCCAGAGGCTGCGGCTCTATCCTGCGCCTGAACTCCTTGTGGCACTACCGCACCCGCGGTTTCAACCGATGCAAGACGTTGCTGATAAGCGTTGTCCGCGGCCTGGATGATCTCAAAGGCCTCTTGGTCAAATCCCCACAAGTGCCAACTATCCAATGTCTCACGCCAGGAAAAGAGGGCCTCAATCTGTTGCTTTGAAGCCTCTGTAAACCTGATCCACCGGAAGCGTCGATCCTGCTTCTTGTATTCGTCAACGATGATCTGCTGGAGGGTGTTGAACAGACGGGCACGCGGCCCTTTCCCACCGCGAACGCCGCGGTGAGGGCCGACTTCCATGTGCGACCGACCAAACGGTCGCAGTCACGGAAGGGTTTGTTTACCGAAAAGTGTTACGGCTGATAACCACTCAAAGGAGAGGGAAACACAGTTTTCTCAACAACGGGGGACCCCGGGACCTTAAAAGGAACGAACCCCGCCGTGACTGCGACCTCTCCCTTAACTTGTGGGCAGCGCGTGCAACGCGCTGTTTTCCTTGAGCCAAATGACAACATGTGAACATGTTGTCCAGTCTTGCAACTTGATGTACCTCTGGGCCATAAATGTCATCGTGATAATTGACTCAACCGGCTGCAAATGTGAGACCGTTGCAAGGGCGAGTTTCCAACTGAGAGCAAGCACACGCTGGACCAGAACGACCTCGCTTCTCATCTTTGCCTGCTTCCGGCTCATGGATCACAGAGTGGGCTCCAGGGATGCTTGTACATACCCTTTTTTTAATACCCCTTGGGCAAGTGAACGCAGAAGGCCTGCTGATGTAGCCCTCTCCCCAAAAGGAGTTTTTACCCCGTCTCAAATGAGTTGGAAACCACGGAAACCAAGGAGTATGCATTTCCACCCTTACTTAGATGGGCTGAACATTGGCGCCATCAAACTATAAAATCCACGCTTCATCTCGCATCGCACAATGTGAATCAAAATGACAGGGGCGACGCCACGCCAGCCGGACAAGTTGACGCGCCAAGTGGCACCAGCTTCGATCTGGCCCTGTTGCTTTCATCGGAAATCTCCTGGGAAGTTGCTGGCCATGCTACACGCATCCGCCTGTTGCATCGTTATGACTGCCAGATGCACCTTGGGGACGTGACATGGGGCCTGTCCAAGTCAGAAGGCACATGTGCTAAAGGAAGGCCGGCCAGCAAGTCATGCCGTTCTTCGACCTGGTAAGCAATGATCTCAGGGCCGTCTGGACAAGTCCCAACAACCCAAAAAGGGTTCACACGCGGGGGTTGATCGAAAGGCCTCAAATACATGGGGCGACCATAAGACACGTTCGCCGCGAAACGTGGAAAAAGACATACCAAACACATCGAAAGCCGGTGTTTGGCCCAGGCCTGTGGATAGCCTGTTCTGCCTCATGAGTGAGGCACGGGAAATCAATTGGAGAGCATCGGCGCAAGGCACCAAAGACAAACAGAGCCGGCACCCGTTAGCCGAGTATTAGCAGCGGGCTCGTTTGAGGGTTCCTTTTTGGTGGGTTGAAACGGAACCAAACCATCATTTGTGGGGGGTCCCTTAAAAAGACACCCATTTTTTGAAGGACTGAACGCCTGCCAGCTGAACAAGCCCTATGCCTCCAAGTCAATGTGCTTCTTCTGCAGAAGTTGTGCGGCGGCCGCTCCGACTTAGTCAGCAATGCGGTCACTAAGCTGCACAATCAGCCGAACAGTCTGGCATGCCCACCTCCATAAGCTTGATCCAAACACAGCCGCGCAGCAAGCCTTTGTGTGGCTGTGGGATCCCATTTCGGAGTAGGTGAATTCACTGCCCATTTTAGCAATTTTAGTGGGGGATGGGATGTTCACTGGGGGCTAACCGGGATTTTGACCCATGGCCACATGTAGGCTTCCCCTCTCTCTCACTGACCATGTCCCAGTGACTTGCATGCGGCCTAATGCAGCGGATGGCACGTTGTTTCTCTCGGCGATGTTAAATGGACTGTCAAAGTCCCACCTGGCCAAATCGACCATCAACGCCCGCCCCTGCCGGCGGAAGCCGACAATGGGTGTGGAGGTGCAGTCGTTCTGGATCCACGAGAGCCTAGCCCTGGCCTCTGGCAGGCAGTGCCGCGCACCGTGACGTTGAGGCAGTCGAAGGTGCTGTTCTCCAAATCCTCGCACTCTGACCTTGCATTAGCTTCAGCTCTGGCGGAATCTGCGAGAAATGATATGCCCGTGGGAGGCTCCCGACGATTTCTCAGAGCGCAGGAGGCGAAATGCCTACGCTGATCTGCGCTGGCCTGCACAAGCGTAAATTTGAATCCCCTACGCCTGGTGCTCCTTTGCCAAGCCAGGCGAAAGTGTCTCTGTGTGAGTTCACCTCGCGCATCATAGCAGCAGGCTCTCGCTCCCGTCAAACAACATCATCCTGTTACTGCCCCACATGCGCATACATATTTTGAACCCAATTGGCGACCGGTGCACTTGCTGTATAGCCTTTCTGTCTAGCGTTGGGGCACTTTCGCTGGGTGAGGCTTGCGCTGCCAACCACCGGGCTCCGCTCAACGCGTCCAAGCGGCCCTTCGGGCTCCCTTTCTGGAACCTCAGCTGGATCAGGCGGCACCGCCTTCGGGGCGCTTCGGGGCAAAGTGACTCGGCTTCCGCAAGCGCCGCAAGCCGAGCGGCGCAGCTGTAAGCCGGCGGGCTCAGGTTACCCTCCACGCAAAAGAGGGACTTGTGTGTTGGCACCTGGCCTCATGGCGTAGACACCCCGTTTGTCGCATGTGCTCACAAATTCTTGGGCACCTTGGGCACCTTGAACGCGAAAGGAAGCAGAATTGCGGGGAAAAACCAACACCTCTGGTGAGTTGCATGCTGCTTCAGGCATTCTCAATGACTTGTTGCAATGGCCGTGGCCACGGCCGTGCCCTTCACAAAACAAAGGCTCCGCAATCTTCGCGCCTGGGGGACATACAGGCGTGCACTGCTCACCACTCATCACCTGCGCAACCAGGCAAAGGTAACTAGACAGGAACGACCGCATTCAAGCTTAAAACCGACTGAGTCCTCGGCTGTGTCTTCTTCGCACTCTGTCGCATTGCATTCGTTGCTCAACGGAGGCACCAAGCACACCGACTTGTACCTCCAGGCATTTTGGATACCCGAAAACAACCCTGCTACAATGCCTTGAGTTTGCCACACGACTGGCCAGTTGCACTGACATGCATTGACCATATTGCAAATAAGAAACCCATTGACGACCATGCGCAAGAGCGGGCACACAGCGCAACCCTCTCTCTCTCTCTCTCTCTCTCTGTCTCTCTCTCTCTCTCTCTCTGTGCCCAGACCCTCACATTGATTGCCAAGATGCGCATAGTCAAAATTACCCTCTACCCTGGAGACCTCGGTTTCGTTGATGGGATTGTAGTGGTAGTCAAACTCCTGGCAGAATTGGCAGTTCTGCGGCATGGCAGAAGCAGTATGCCCAGTACGTGAAGGAACGCGCCGAACAATTATCCACGGCCATGAAATGCACGTGTTCGCGAACATAAGGAGGCATGGCCTTGTCCAGGTGTGCGACAACAATCATTGCGGGTGTCCAACAAAATGAGGCGCAAGCCCAACTACTGCTGTTTTCGGCCCTTGGGGCTGGCCCATCATCGCGGCAAAGTGTGTTCTGGCGCCCTCACAGTGTATGAATTTTCGTTGGCAAGCACAGCTGTTTGTGCATGCTGGAGCTCAAAAATATCATTTTGACAGCACAGGCGCGTGCGGCAGCAAAACCTTGGAGCAGGTGTTCCTGCGCCGTGCGAGCGCGCCTGTTCGTGTGGCCTGCGCAGCACTTTACGCGCCGAGATTTCGCTGCAATCGGAGAACCTGAGCAATGCTGTTTCGGGGCAAGCTCTACTGCATGCAAGCATGGGCACCTCTATTTTTCAGCGCGTTCGCCGTTCGGGTCGCTGTGAACTATGCTCGGCCCCAAACGGCCGAAACGTTTTCTTGCACTAAACACACACGAAACACTGCAAATACTGTGAACAATTTAGTCCTGTTCGCAGCGCTGAGCGGGCGCGCGGGCGGGGGTGTGCTTACCACTTGGCAAGTTTCAATACAGCGCGGACAGGGTGCGCGTGCACGGGCGCGCTGTCCACTTGGTAGGCAGTGGGGGTTCGTGTGAACGGGTGTGCTCGTGAACGGGTGCGCTTCCCATTTGGCAGGCGTGGAAACAGCGCACAACGCGCGCGCGCGTGAACGAGTGCGCGTACTATTTGGCAGGCGTCTATACCGCCCTGCGCGGACGGCGTGAGTGCGTGAACGGGAGTGCTTACCATTTCCTAGGCAGAACGGCTGCGCACGAACAGGTGCCCTTCCAACTTGGCAGGCGTGGACACAGCTAAGGACCGGTGCGAGTGAACGAGTGCGCTTACCGTTTGGCAGGTGTCCATACCGCCCTGCGCGGACGGCGTGAGTGCGTGATCGGGCGCGCTTACCATTTCGTAGGCAGAACGGGTCCGCGTGAACAGGTGCGCTTCCCATTTGGCAGGTGTGGATACGGCGAAGAACGGGCGCGCGTGACCGGGTGCGCTTACCATTTGGCGTGGATACAGCGCAAAGCGGCTGCGAGTGAACGAGTGCGCTTACAATTTGGCAGGCGTCTATACTGCGCAACGGGCGAGCTTACCATTTCGTAGGCAAAAAACAGGTGCGCGTGAACAGTTGCGCTTCCCATTTGGCCGGCGTGGACTCATCGCAGAATGGGTGCCACTGAACGGGCGCGCTTACTGTTTGGCAGGCGTCTATACCGCGCTGCGCGGACTTGCACGCGCTTGCCATTTCGTTTGCAGAACGGCTGCGCGTGGCAGGGGCGTGGATACGGCGAGCGGGTGCACGTGACCGTGTGCGCTTTCCATTAATTGGCAGGCGTGGGTACAGCAGGTGCGAGTGAACGAGTGCGCTTGCCATTTGGCAGGCGTATATACCGCCCTGCGCGCGGGTTCGCGTGAGCAGGCGCGCTTCCCATTCGGCAGGCGTGGATACGGCGAAGAACGGGTGCGCGTGTGTCCGGGTTTGGCAGGCGTGGATACAGCGCAGAACGTGTGCGAGTGAACGAGCGCGCTTCCGATGGTGAACAACCGCGCTTACCCCTTGGCAGGCCTGGATACAGTGCTGAGCGGAAAACGCGATTTGTGAGCGTGCATCAAACACATCATGGGTTTTAAGTCACCCTGAAGATTGACAATGCGCGTACTAGCGCATTTACGCAACGATGGCGTGTTGGGCCTCTTGCGATCGTGCTTTGCGCTGCACGCAGGTTTGAAGCCAAGAATTGTACACAGGATTTTGCTGGCCAAGCTGCATAATCAGACCAGTAGACTGAGATGAAGCAGCCCTTGGGCTGATTTGGGACATCCGGGTAAATATGGCCACCTGGGTGCGGATGGGCTTCAGCACATCTGGCTTGCAACTGGCAGGGATAGCCAGCACCGCAAGCTGGGGCAACGGCGACCAAGCTGGATCGAATCTTATGTGTTGACTAAACCCCCTCCCTGCTTCCAAACAGAGAAAGCGCTCATTCCTGCGTGTTTCCTCTCTGTCTCTTGCACCAGCTAAAATGAATCGACAATCTAGACTTATATTGCTTATAGGCTGCAAGTGGTTGAAACTGTCCTTGCCGGATACTGAGCTTCCAGCCACCCAGGAGCTTTGCATCCTCGTGTCCTCGCGTGGGAAAATGGGGCGCGCAAAAGGTTGCCTGGTGAAAGTGGGAGGTGAACATGCCTGGTGGGAGGTGAGTATGAAACTGGTGATTGCCCAGGTGGAAGGGGCAATAACCCTTGAACATGCAAACGCATATTCGCTTGTTGCACGCGCATATTCGGTCCCTGCTCTTAGCTGAAAGTATGAGTGCCCCAGTGCAAAGACTGCGTGTCCTTTGCCCATCTTTCCCCCTGGCCGTATTCAGAAAAGGCTTGCAGCGGTGTTGCCCTGGCTGCCTTGCGGACGAATCATTGAGCTTGTTTGATCTCTTCGCCCAGTTCCCCTCCTTGAAAGGTCGTGCCAACGCCCAGCGCCTGCAGCATCGACAGGCCCAGGGAATTGAAAGCTAGCCTACCAAAGAACGACGCTGAAGAGTGATCTTCAGTGCTTGGCCCGATGCGCCTCTGGTGAGTTTGAGCGACGTCAAGCAATGCGCAAACAGCACAGAGCGCAAAGCAAAGCGCAAAGGAACTGATGCAAGCATCACTTCAAGGATTGAAGGCAGCAAATGGAACGGGTCCAGGGGAGGGAGAGAACTAGCAAACTAGATCAAGCTTTCGTGATGACGGCTTAGTTGCCCATTGCAACATGGTAAACCTTACCTCCATCTCGTCATGATCGCTTTGAATCAGCTGACTGAATGCTGCGATCCAACGAACGGTATGAAGGCAGGTTGAATGCTGGAGGGTATGCCAGGGACCTACAGGGGCATTGTCCACATATCATGGTGCCACGGCCAAGCAAATTGGCAGCCACATGACCTCACAAGCCTCCCGTCTCACCCCGCAATCGCAACCTGCGTGCCACTATGACGCCCTCAGCCCGCACAGAACACAATTGCTTCGCGCCAACTCTTAAGCGACAATGCAAAGCAACTTTGTTGCACCTGAAGCAAGTCCGATTCCAGCACCAACCGGGGCCCAGCCTGGAAGGCTAATTTGCAGATGGTCTTGCTTCGGATTGAGAGCCTTGATTCGAGGCTGGAAACCGAATTCCAGCTTTGTTTCACTAGTGCCCCCACCGCTGCTAGCTTGCCAATCAATGAATGGAACAACGAACCCAGGTTTGGAAGAGAGAATGACAAATGCCTCTGGCAGTTTGTGAGCTGTGCTCTTCATCTACTTGATGCCTCAAAGCCATCTGTAAGCCTCCAAGCAGGCACCTCTTCAAAGTCTTCTGCTGGCAGGAAGGAGCAAGCTGGCTAGAAGAACCACCCCCAATCCTGCTGCCAAGGTGCAGCCCCCGGTCTTCACAACCTATCTGTCCCCAATGGCCGTAACCGTAGTCGTAGCCCCCCCAGGTATTATCCTGAAGGACCTGCGCAGCTCTTGAGGCAAAACGGGCCGATGCCCTTTGGAGACTGGTTTGTGCCTCTCCCAGTTTTGACAGCTTGCCACTCTGGAAACATGTTGATGCTATGGGCATTGCCCTTCTCTCTCTCTCTCTCTCTCTCACTCTCCCCCTCTTTCTCGCACTCACTATCTCCGTCTCTCTCTCTCTCTCTCTCTCACTCTCTCTATCTCTCTTTCCTCCCGAAATCTGTCTGTCTTTGTGTGTTCTTCTTTCTCGGTCTTTCTGTATCTTGTTTTGCTTTTCTCTCTCTCTCTCTCTCTCTCTCCCCCTCTTTCTCTTGACTTGAACTCTCTCTCTCTCTCTCTCCCTCTATTTATCCCTCTCTGTCTGCCTGTTTCGGCTGCTCTTTAGCGCTCCTCTCCTTGTCTTTCTCATCTTCTCTCATTATTTTTAGCGGTGTCTTTGTATTATATGTCCTTCTTCCTTGCTTGCTTGCTTGTTTTCTCTTTCTTTCTTCCTTTCTTTCTTGCCTTTCTTCCTTTCTTCCTTCCTTCCTTTCTTCTCTTTCTTTCTTTCTGTCTTTCTTTCTTTCTTTCTTTCTGTCTTGCCCTCCTTCTCAATACGGGTCGTTGATTAATGTTGATTGTTTTCTTTTATCTTGTTCTCTGTGCTTGCTTTTTCTCTTTATCAGTCTCTTTCCCTTTGTTTTCCTTTCTCTTCGTCTTCCTCTCTCTCTCTCTTAGTGCCACTTAGTGCTTCTCTTTGGCAATGTCTTCCGCTTTCTCTTTCTCTCCCTCCCTCTCTCTGGTTTGCACTCTTTCTGTCTCTATCTCTCTCTACACCTCTCTCTCTCTCTCTCTCTCTCTCTCTCTCTCTCTCTCTCTCTCTGTTCTCGCTCTCTCTTGCTCTCTCTCTGTCTCTCTCACCCCCGCCCTGGCCACAAAAGCACCAACAGGCCTGTCTGCGCTCGCAACAGAGGTGGTTTGCTTCTGCTCATGTCTATTCCCCAGTTTTTGCGGGATGTGCATCTATCTTAAAGCTTTTTACGTGCGGTGCATCTGGTCTTCAAAATCTTGTGCGCAGGTGCGGGCATTCTTGGCTAGCTCAATTAGTTCCTTCTAAGCTTCCTTCTATACCATTATGTCAGCGTCTGGCGGCTGGTTGCAACCAGCTGAGGCCCTGTGCCGACTTCTGGCATCAGGCATTTTTGTACAGCTTGGAGCTGTATGTCCTCATAATTCCTCATATGCCATGTGAAGAACCATAGTCGCCCAAAAAGTGAAATGCTGCACACCGGAATGTCACATGAGACGTAGAGCATGGCTGTGACGATAGGCCAGAGGACGGCCCCTGCCTGCACGCCGCCGACGTCAGTACTTTGAGGTTCTCCTTCCCCCTGACCGACTGACCGCACTCCCTTTGGATGCGCTGATGCAAAGGAAGAACAAACATTGGCCATGGGGCCACGGGGCCACATGGCGCGTTCTGAAGACAAGGAACGTCGTAGTAATTTTGCGCCAGGACACCTGAGGACAAGCAAGTCAAGCACAATCACCTCACTTGCCCAAAAGACCAGGAAATAAAAGGTTAACCTTTTGGGACCTTTACTAAAAATGGAACAATTGGAAAACCAAAAGGTCAAAAGGTCGGCTTTGGGCAAGTGAGTCAAACAGTGACACACCTATTCACATGTCCCGCAAGGACAGGCCAAGAAAGCTGCGGATCACAGGCGCGATCCCATACCATCCAGATGTGCAAAGAGTCAAAATGGCAAAGTGTCACTTCGGGAAACCAGGCCATCTCCTGTGAAGTGAGCTTTCCAGTGCATACCCCTGCCTCCAAGCAGCAGCCAAGCCACGCACATCATCACTACGCACGGCTGTAATATACAATGCCGCTGTTTGATATCGTGTGGCTGAATCGTGAGGCGTATTTTCTGGTTTTGCTCGTCTCCCTATCCTCTTTTGGAGAGATTTGTAGGGGGTTCGCACTTCTACGAGCAGCCTTGATCTGTGGGCGACTGAAAGCAGACTTTGGGCCCAACTACACAAGTGCCACTTACTCATGGTACTTATGGGGGTGGGGGGGTGAGGGGAGGGGAGGGGAGGGGGGGGGAGCCCAAATACGCCTCAAATAAGGCCTTATTAATGGCTCAACAAGGATTTGGGCTCCCCCCCCCCCCTCCCCTCCCTCCCCCCAAGCCCCTATGACTTCAGAAGACAAACCGCTCAGACCCGTTCAACAATATCATTTGCGCAGTTGTTACAGTAGAACCAAAACGGGCTTGTTTCTGAATAGGGGGGCTCCCACAATTGTGATTTTCCGTTTGATCTCCCAAGGAAGAAGGCTAGGCAAGGCCTTTTTTGAGAAAGCGACACGCCCAAACGAGATGCGTCTCATTGAGCCGTCCTGGACCTGCTTCTGCTGCTGCTGGTGCTGGTGCCGATGCTGCCCAGGCTGCTGCTGGAACTGGAGGGCTTCGCCTGTCAACGGCCAATGCAAAAGATTGCCTGCCTACATCCGAGCTATCTTGGAGGCTTCGTTTTAAAGGGTCGCCTTCGTTATACAGGGTTTTAGCCCTGTTCCTGTCCTTGAGGCGGAGTATTTTGGGGATCCCTCATCTCATGAACTCATGGGCTGCATTGAAGCAAGTGTTTGTCACGAATGCAGGCTGATGGGTGCAATCAACGGAACTGCTACGAACTACTGCAACCCGTGCTTCTGCCAAACTCCGTGGGATCGCGACGGTAGCGAGGCCATGGCTTTATTGAAGGCCCAGGACCAGTGGAAGGTCAGCCCAGTTGAAACATCTGTGCTGCCCTCGCCTTGGCCGCACCTTTGGCTGCCGCACCTTTGGCTGCCGCAGCTTTGGCGGCCGCAGCTGTGGCCGCAGCTTTGGCGGCTGCCTTGCTTGCAGCCTCGGGGCCGGCAGCCGGGCCGGCGGCTTCCTCTGCTTTGACGGCTGCACCTTTGGCGGCCGCCTTTGTCCTGGATGGAATTTGCAGCCCGCCGAAAAACAAAACATCATGGAGGTTTCAAGGGTTCAAGTGTGAGGATTGCACAAAGTGCCCGGGACGGCTGTGCCTACGCGACTTGGCCGGCAAAAAAGCTATGAGGCTTGGCCAAGTGAGCAAGTCGCAACTCACAAGCGTGGGGGGACACGATCCAAAGGCTCCTCACCGCTCCCTCCTCCAGCAAGAAGGAGCCCTTGACCTAAAAGCAAGTCTTGCAAAGGCGGCCCTTTGCCCTTCGAGGGCCTTGCATTTGAAAACCGCAAAGTTGGTTCTTGTGGGCTGCACTGGTGTGCTGGCCTTCTAGAGATGCGGGGATCCTCAACGACAAAGCCCATCAACTGACAACACACGAAGCTTCAACGCGTGGAAGGAGCAAATATACACGCCCCAGCAAGCCCCACTGAGAAGCCAGCTGTGACCTTCACCTGCCGGCCAAACGCTCAGAGCCCGTTCCTTTCACCCAGGGAGGCTGAAGATGTTCTGAGAAAGTGGCTGCCTAACCACCAGGGCCAATATCAAGCTTTGCTTTGCTGCCTTGCATCTCCAGGTTTCCATCTCCGGCATCTGGCGGACAATCTTTCTTGATTTACCACAGGTGCCCGCACAAACGGCCAGCAAAGTGCCAAAGCTCTGCAGCGCTATTTGCTTGTCAGCTGGCCAAGCGTGTTGCTTTCTCAGGATTTGCTTGGTGCACAAGCAACAACTCACGCAGCAAAATAGCTTGCAAAACCCATGCTAGGGGGAGGTTGAAGAACCTGTGGCCACAACCCCCACATCTTGCATTGACCAGCAGGCCTTCACCGTAACTCTTCCCTGAACACGCAAAAACAAAGACAAGCCGCTTGATTCTTGGTCGCCAGTTCCAGCCAACCGCCCACCCAAAGTTCCACTGCCTTGAGCAAGGCATCCTCCGACAGCGTCAACTCCCCTTCGAAGCCTCCAAATGGACCCATTGAAGGGGACGCAAGAACCCGAGTGCGCCGACGTGCGCCAGATTCGAGCACACGAACAACTCAAGAATTTGCCCAGCCCAAAAACACTCAGAGAACTAAGCGAAGCAAACGCGGAAACGGCTGGGCTGTCTTTCTTTGGGCGCATGTGCCCGAAACAATGAAGCATGCTTCCAGTCGACGTGCACGCCGGGCTTGCGAACATGGAAAGGCTGGTTGCTATGGCCAAATTCCGAGGGCTCGACAAACGACGACAAACTTGCAACAAAGGATAGCATGGAGGACAAGTGGGAAACTTTCAAATACTCGTGTCGCTGGGCTTTTGTCAAGAGATGCACGGTATCTGCAACGGACAAAGGAGCATCGAACATGGATTACCATGAATGATCCGCATGTTGGGTCACCATGCCAAGCTCATGGGTCGTAATGGCCAAGTTGAGGAACGAGGGCAAAGTTCGTACACTCTGCCTCTCCAAGTCAGTCAAAGGTCCACGGGTGGACCCGCGAGGTACGCCAGGTACATGCGGTGTGACCGGCATAAGCTCCATGCCTGCTGCGACGATCCGAGATGCAGGCAGCAGGGCCTGTCAAGCTGCTCTGGCTCAAAACCTCTCAAAGTGGCCGTGATTGCCCTGCCCATCTTGCGCAACATACATTAACTACTTGACTAAGGTGTGGAAAAAGTCAAAACCGTTCGAAAGGCCGCATTCCAGCCCGGCGACCCTGCCCACGTTTGACACCTCCAAACTGTAGGCCCAAACGCGGAATGTGTCTGCGCGAAACCCGCGTACGCGGAATGGAGCCTCTCCAAGCTTTGTGGGACCCATCACCGCGAAGCGCAAGGTGTCGCCTTGGCCAAGTCGATTTGGAAACTGGAGGCTTGGAGCTGTTCAGACCATAGCGCTTAGGGCGCAAGTGCGGCTGCCATCCCCTTTCACCTAACTGAAATTTGGGCACGGTTTTGTCTGGGTGCACGGTGCATGAGACTCCAATGAGCTGCAAGGACAATGCTGGCGGCAAGCGTCCACCTGTTCTTCTGAGTGGCTGTGTGACATCTGCAGCTCGCCTGTGTGGTTCCATACCTGAGTCGGAAAGCTGGAGCCAAAAGGTTTGACTCGGGTAGGCAATGAAGTCTCGGCCCCAACAAAGCCAGCGTCAGTCTTTGGCCCAAGATGCTGGATTCCTGGCAGTGGAGTTCGAGCTGGTTTGAAACTCTTCGTCCTCGCATGGGGGTCATGCTTCTCGAATTGGACAATGATCCAAAGACATCCTTGGAAGACATCAATCCGCATAGGTCATCCACAAAGGCCGGCAAAGTGCAAAGTGATGCCCTTTGAAGCTATCAAAAAGGGCGGGCAGCACGCCTGCCAACAACCCAGTGCCAGCGTTTCCCTTTCCTTCCCCGCAGTCCTTGCCGATGACATCCACCACACCTGAAGGCTTGGCCAGGTCGAATTCAAACCAAATTGGTCAAATTTGTCATAGACCCTTAGCATCTTTGCAGATCTTCAAACCAACACCATAGGAAAGAGCCTTGGCGAGCTCGTGAAAAAAGTGAGCTCGCCATATGTGGGATGGGTCAAAATTAAACCACCAGGAATTGGACCGCAGGTTTTGGTCCATTCCACTTACCAGGGTAACCCATTTGGGGTGGCCGTTTTTGACCCACCGCCTTTGGCAACCATGTTTCCACTTAGGGCAACCCATTTGGGGTACTGATTTTTGACAACCACAGCCATGTCACTCCCAGCGGCATTGGAGGCCGTCGCCGCCGGGCCGCCACTTGCTGTCGCGAAGACCGGATCCCGAGAGTATGGAGACCTGCGCGTGGAGGCCAAAACGAGACCTCGCTCAAGCCAGGCTCCCAGGCCCTTGAGACAAAGCCTGGTTTCTCTTCGGCAACATTGAGCCACCCTTTATTAAAAAAATAAAACTAAAACTTGACGTTTCGGTTGTCATGAATGGGTTCCAGTGTCAGCAGGTTCGTAGTTTCCTTGCGAAGCCAGAAGCGGACGTAATAAATCAGAATGCTTCGAATTGATGTTATCATGCAGCTCTTTAAACGTGACGACACCCAAAACGACACTGCAAAAGCTTCAACAATCCTGCAACTGCACATCCCACGACGGCCCGGCTTCGAGGTTGTACATCAACATGGCCATCTTTTTGATCAGGCTCCCGCCGCCACGTTCGCGTGCCTCTGCGAAATCCAGTGATCATGTCAATGCGTTACCCGGTTGCCCCTATGGGACCTGGAAACAAAAGGCGATCACCTTTTGGGGCCATGACTAAAAATGGGAACCCAAAATGGGAAAACCAAAAGGTCAAAAGGTCGATTCGCTTTGGGCAACTAAGGTTCATCAAGTTAGCCAGTATGCCAGAAAGAGCGATGCGCAGCTCAACAGTTGATAGACCTGTCTTTGCCAACGTGCCAGGAGTACGGCACCTTGGAACACAAGCCCGTGATTTTCGGAGGCCTTGTTTCGTTTCCCCCCCCCCCTCTGCCCACAGAATGCTGAGGCAAAGACCTGCAAGATGGCCCAGTCCCAAGCCGCGGGTCGTCGCGAATGGACTGTGCTGGAATTAGACTTATGCGAATAGGACGCCTTCTCATACCCTATCCCCTCGACATCGGGTTACATCGGAAAGCGCTGAAAACAGCATACCTCTATTACATGTTTCAAATTTCAAGCTACGCCCCGCCCCAACATTCCCCGCCCCAGCCCTGCGAGCCTTTGCTGGCTCTCTAAACCACACAAAAAGGACCCGCAACCCCAAGAAAGAAAGCCCTTTGACCGCCGAACGGCCCCACGGTTTGAGGCCCTTGCCGTGCCCAACTGCTCCAACTCCGCCTCCGCCTTGGCGCACCGCTGGGTCACGTCCTGCGACGCGCGGGCCCTGTGGCATCCACTGCTGCATCCACTGCTCCAACAGAAAACGGCCATTTTGAGGAGCATTCCCGATGGAATCCACATGCCCGTATGAGCATGGGTTTTTTTTAGCGGTTCCGGGCTTATACACTGCTGGGGAGGCTACGCGGGGGGGGGCTTCGCGGGGCCAGAATTCGTGGAAGGGTTGGCTTCGCGAGGCTTCGCGGCAAGACTGCGGCTTTGCGGAGTGGCTTCGCCGGGCTTCGCGGATGCTTGTTCCACAAACATCCCTGACATTTGCGCTCATGTAGTTGAATCAAGTTGAGTCCATGCGAAACGGTAAGAGAGACATTGAGCTTCAGGACTGGGGGACATGGATGGGCCTCAAAGGGGCGGAGCATGGAAGTTGGACCGCGGTGGCTTCGCGGTGGCTTCGCGGAGGCTTCGCGGGAGCTTCGCAAAGGCTTCGCGAAAACGTTCCATCGTTTCTAGCAAAGCTGGGCCTGAAACGCACGGTGCTCTTCCGGTCGTCTTCCTGTCGTCTTCCCATAATCTTCGGCAGTCTGACTGAAAGCACATAACACACACACCAACCACGAAGTGGCTTCGCAAAGTGGCTTCGCCTGCGTCAATGTTACCGGGCTACGCGAATTGGCTTCGCGGGGCTTCGCGGCGCACAATGTATCACACAAGTGGCTTCGCGGACTTTTTGGGAGTTCCCCACGAAGCTAAAACCCATCATCTGAGTAAAACGCTGCTCATATGTGGCCAAGGGTTGGGCACAAAGCCAAGTACTGGCAACCTAGCAGCGGAGCAAACCCGGAGCTCCAGCCCCAACAGTCCCACAGCTCCGCACGCAAGGCGTCGTAGGCTTCTTGCTGCACATCCTCGTCCCTCTTGGCGCCGTACCTTAGGCATTTCTGGAGAAGGGCTGGGTGAGAAGTGAGCAGGTTGGTCAAGAAAATCGAAGCCTCGGAAGAATGCTCGGTTTGTGCCTTGCTTCGCAAGCATGCTTGGAGAGCGCGCTACAAGGCTTCAACCCTGCGAGGCTTCCGCAGCCCATGCAGGATCTTTCTCCGAAAAACGGCCGAGTGACATTCCGATAAACTTCAATCCAAACACGGACGAGTGGCTCACACAGCTCTGCGATCTTCTCGTTTGCGGCCTTGAGCTCTTGCTCTCCTAAGCACTGAGCGCTCGCTCTGGTAGGAGGTCGGGCGAAGTGACTGGCGCGCAACTGCCAATGACGAGTGGTTTCGCAACTTTTCCCAAGCAATGGGACCTCTTTAACAAAAATGGGGCTGCCAGACACCGACCCCGAAATTTCACGGACCTCTCTAGTTGGAGTATTTGGGGGCGGCCTCCCCCGGATTTCCTAAACCTTGAGCAGGCTTTGGGGCCTTCTGCTTGGCTCGCTGCCTCGGTCGCCACCCCTCCCCCACAAAGCCCCCAAGGTCGAAGCGGCGCTTCTGCACCTCGGTCTGCAGCCGCTGCAGCGATGCGATGACCAGACGCGGCGCATCCTCCGGTGCGTGGCTGCTGGACAGCACCTCGGCGTGTCTCACAGAGCGGGTTTCTTGCTGCTGTGAGAGGCAGGGAATGAGTTGGAATGAACCCTTGCTTTGGCCCCTTTAAAGGAAACCACCTGTTGAATGGATAAGGGTCATTCCCTCTCACAACAAAATGCTGCTATTGGCACTTGTTTTCCTAACGCATCCACGTGACTCAAGGCCTAGAAGGCAGCGGGCAGACACATGCAAGACTCCTAGGCATGTGAAATGATTCTCACAGCCTCCAAAAATTATGCCCGCGACTTCAGGCGATTCTCGCCTTGCCTGCCGCGGTTCAAGACTTCATCTTCTTCCTCGATCACGAGGCTGTTGCTCTTTAGCAACTTCATCATAGGCTCCATGTGAGCCTTGAGCTTCGTGAGAGCATCTGCAGGGTTGAAGTTGTGCGGAATCCACCTCATGCGTCCGGAGAGCTTGATGCTCTCCTGGATGATCCCAATCTCCAAGGCTGACCTGTCGTCGTCGCCTTGAGCTTGCTCCGAAGCCGATGCATCGTACAGACTCTTAGCATCTGCCACAGCAATGGTAAGCGGATCCGTGAAGTTCACGCTTTCGGATGCTATGACCGTGCCAGGTCCTTGAAGCCCCATCTGTACCTCCTCGGACACCTCCACAGCTGTTTCCCGAGGGTCGTACTTGGACTTGCAAAAGCTTCGCCACACCGCCACCTGTTTCTCCATCGCACCCAAAGCTGTTGAGAGCGCTATAGATTCGCAAAGCAGCGTGTTGCCTGCTTTCCGACGAAGTCGCCTCGATTTCCAGCTCATCAAGCTTACCGGAGCAACTTCACCACGGTTCAACTGCGGTGTTGTCATCGCTTGAATCCATCCATGCTGAGGTTTGACTTTGCCCGTGGGGTCATAGGAAGCGTCCGAAATCACCAGATGCCGAACTTGCTCTTCGGGAATGTGATGTACCTTCAGCACCACATGGTGATTCCTCAGACGATCCACCACCTGATTGGTTTCCAGGACATGTTGCATCACGGGCTTCTCGAAACAACCAGAGAGGATGCTTGCAGCTGCTGAAACGTCAGGACGTCCCTCACGGGCTATCCAGTTGATGGCTGCTACCACTCCTCGCAATTGTTGAATCTCGTCTTCCTTTAGGCAAGTGGTTGAAGCGTCCTTCTTCAAATACTTGCGCTCCACCCGAACATACTTCAACCTGTTCTTGATGTAGTCCGCCATGGTATACTGAAAAGAACCATCTGGGCCTTGCATGATCCTGCGACCTGCGTAACCAGTGCCTTCTGGATGTTCTTGAAGGTTGATGATCTTGCCGAACTTCAAGTTCTTCTCAAGCCAGGCCATCTTCTCGCGGTGCTCGTTTCCGGACTCCAAAATGTCGTCCACCTCCACCACGATGATTCCTTCGGTCGGATGCCCGGGAATGCCTGACTTGTTATCCAAAGTCAGCACACACCTGTCGTAGGCATTGACCCTGTATCCCAACTCTTTGACCAAAACCTCCAGAAATGTCCTTCTCCACCACGCCGGTCCTGATACCAACCCGTACACTTCGGTGTTCAGGAGAAGCAACTGCCTAGGGTCTAGCCCGGGCAGTGCCTCATCCGAGGGTTGCTTCACCGCGAGCTTCTGCTTGCGCGTAGTGGGCTTTGACTGGAGGAACGCTGTCTTGGCGTCTTTGACGAAAGCGCTCCATTGCCTTCCTGCGGTCAAGGCCATGAAGAGATACATGCTCGAAGTCATCGGGGTGGGAGCTGAGCGTTCGATCTGATGTACCATCGGATCTTTCCAACCAACCACACACCATCGCGACTTGGGGGCCACCGAGGTAGTGTGTCCCGAACCCACATCTCCTACATTGAAGTCCTCGGGCAACACTGCAAAGTCCTCGGTTGGCTTCCACCGATCCACGAACCTTGACGTGAGAACGTGTTCAGGATGTGCTTGAGTGAAGGCTAAGCTCTCCTCGATTGACAGCACTGTGATCGCGCCACTGTCAGTCAGAGATTTGAACTCCTTGGCTCTGGCTTGTCGAAACGTTTGCTTCTCGCTATTCGGCAACTTGGCAAATTCCACCTGTCCAGGCGATTCCTTCGCTTTGGCCAAGTAGAAACGCTTGTCCTTGTTGCTGAAGAAGCACACGGAATCTTCCAACTTGAAGGCATGTGATGACTTAGCCTTCATGTACCAGACGCCGCGAATCCGATCTTCACACCATTTGGCCCCATCCTGCGTCTCCATGTTCTGGTCGTAGACCTCGAAGAGCGTGGTGTTTGACCTTGCGGTTGGCCACGGTTGACTCTCCACATTGGAAAAGGGATATGGCATAGCCCTGCTGGAACTCTGCCGCACTGGGCCAAAAGGCATTTCGCCACCTCGTCCTTCGTCTACCAGAGTTGACGCTCGACGACTTGTCAGTCGGCTCGCATCGTTGATGGCCGAAGATGAAGACTCCGAAGGTGCCGCTGTGCTTGCCACTTCCAGTGCTGGTAGTTCATGGGGTTGTGGTTGATCGTGAGGCTGATCCACTTCCATGGGATTCTGCTGATCTGCCATCTCACCTTCATCGCCACCGAAAAGTTCGGTAATATCCTCATCAACTTCTTCTCGAACCGGGGGCAAACGTCGTCCTCGCGGGCGCAACTGAATTTGAACTTCTTCTTGCTGTTCTTGTTCCCTGGCAGATGCTGTGGCTTCCTCCTCCAGATCGCGGTAGTGTCTGATGTTGCCAGACTCCAAACCTTCCAGCATCTCGGCACTGAGAACCTTGACCAGCTCCACACCGAGATTTTCTTCTGAAGTCGCGTGCCTGAGGTGTTCCTTGGACACTTTGAGAAGATATCCGCGAAGAGACACCCACAGCGAACGGTTGTTTTCGCTGATCGCCACCACAACTCCAGGTCCAGACCAACCACGAAAGTTGTTGTTCTCTCGCCACACGTAAACTGTCTCATTGGGCTTGAAGTCCTTGAGGTCGGTCATGCGCGTGTTGGCTTTATCAGCTCGTCGGACAGCATTGTTGTCCTGAGCTCTCATCCAGGCTCGAGCTGCCGCATCCCGTATCTCTCGAGACCTCGCCATAGTATCTTCTTGGCTCAGGTGCAGTTCGCGGTCCAGGTAGTCGTCTGAAAGCAAAGCTGCTGGGAGCCTTGGGTTGTAGCCGAACACGCGTTGATACGGGCTGAACCCTGACCGGTCATAGTAGCGATTCCGCGCCACCTGTGTAGCAGCTACTGCCATCTGCATCTCCTCCTCGGTCTGGATGGTCAGCTCGTGTATCATGGTCTCCAGCGTGCTCTTGAAAGAGCCCCCAAAACGCTCCACACGCCCGTTTTGCCAAGGACTTGCCACATCTGTGTAGTGCACAATGACACCCAGGTCGGTGAGGGTGTCCGCGAACTTGCTCCCAACGAATTCACCGCCTTGATCACATATCAACATTCTCGGAGCCCCATAGTGAGCGAACCACGTCCTCAGCAAGGCTCCGGTGACCTGCTCGGAGGTCTTATCATTGATCATCTCCACGATCTGCAAACTCGTGCCGAGGCAGACCACGTTCAGGAAGACCCTTTCCTTGATAAAGAATAGGTCCACGCCTATGCACTCGTTGAAGCCCATGGCTCTTGCCAGATGCCCAGGCCGTTGAGAGCCAGGCTTCTTCCGCCTTTCGCATAGCGGGCACTTGAAGTACTTCTTCGTCCAGGCCAGAATCTCCTGCTTCGCTCCTGCGTGACGTAGTCCACGAACAAATGTCTGTAGGTCAGGGTGACCCAGATTCCGATGAACTCGATACAGTTCTCTCCTCAGCTCCGGATGTAGTTGATCATCGCCTTCTTGGTCTCCTCGTCCAAGTTCTTCTGGTAGAACTCGAGACCGTAGTTCTTGATCTACTCGTTGTTCGTCCCCGCGTTCTCGACCTTCTTTTGGATTGCGTTGTTCTCTGCCGTCTGAATGAGCCGACGGCACCGCTCTGTCAAAAAGCTTCCGAGTGGGATATATGGCACAACACTCGGCTTGGAAAGCGCCCTCCGCTGTCACATACTCCTGAATGGGGTGTGCAGCGGCTGCTGATATCCATGTTGCCCGGTTCTGGTAATCGGCGGGCAACATCACCTCGCTGATGAGGTCGAAAGCCGTAGTCCCAGTCCACCGTTGAGCGGAGGAACTCGTCGTAGTACTTGTGTGGAAACGCCAGTCATCCACTGACTGCTTCGTGCTTCCATCCTCATAGGTCTTGGTCGTTGTCCTCTTCCCAGTGAACTTCTCCACGGGGAAGCCGAAAGCATTACACTCTTCAAGAGTGCACAGATTTTGCCGCGGTTGGAAATGCCGGCAAATCAGCTGGTTGTGTCGAAACTCCCAGCGGTCCTTGAGCTCGACCACTGGAAAATAGGAAGCCCTGATGTGCTTCCTTAGCGCCTTGAGAATCTCGTCCACGAACTGTTGTGGATATACTGCTGCGTTGTTGGCTCTTCGATCTCCCACCAACGGTTGATGCTGTGCGTGATGACCCTGACATCTCCGGTTCAGGGCGTCGGCAATCTCCTGAATGTTCGTGAGAATGAGTGTAGGCTTCTTGGCGGGCATCATTCTTGTCCTTGATGAGTCTGGAGTCTGAAGCCCAAAACGGCACATATCCAGAGCCACTGCCTTGACTTCCGGGTGTTGCTTCAGCTCCTCAAGGGAAGTCGTTGTCCAGGACTTCGCCAGTAGGGGATGCTCGAACACGAAGCCTCTGCCACCGGAGAGCTGAATCAGAGCAATGCGTACTGCGTGTTCCACATGAGCTCGTCCTTCTGCTTCTTCTCGTCGAACATCTTTCTGATTGCGCTTGTAGTTCGTGAGGGCTCGCAATTGGCTAAACACCGTGCAAGGTGGGCTGAGCACTACTAGAGCTGGTCTCAGTCGTCTGATGAGGTCCAGTGATGCTTGTCGATGGTCAGCACGATTGAAATCCCATCCGGTGACCAAATCTAGCGAAGCCCCAGGTCGAAGTCCTAGCCTGCTCGCGCGTTTGGCCAGTCGCGGAGGGCTGTAGACCTCCATGACGTCCACCTTGGTGTTCTGATTGATGAAGGCAGTCAGGTAGTTCTGCTCCTTGCGTTCCAATTTGCGCACTCTTCCTTCCTGATCGGTCATCCACGAGTGCATATGCTCAGGCTGTTGGAACACGTAGCACCACTCGTCGACTTGTTGATGTCGCTCATTCTTGTCTGAGTACAAGTCGATGTCGTCCCAGAATCCTTGCTCGGATTGCCAGCCGTAGACCTGCACCACGTTTCCGATCAGGTGTCCAGGAATGCTCTCCAACGTTCTCGAAGTTGTCGATAGGTAGATCATGATCGTGGTCATGGCATAACCCAATCGGGAGAGCTTTGCATAGAGCTTCTTCGCCTTGTCGCTCACGAACAATTCCTTCTTTGGTGTTACAAGGACGTGGTGGTGTCCGGGAAGCGAGTGTTGTTCTACCCCACCACCGTCATGTCCTCGTCGATCCCCTCGCTGCTGTGTGAGCTGAGTTCGTACAGCTCCGGTTCCGGCTTGTTGTCTCTGTTGGGCGTCTTGGACCGTCGGGCTGTCCGCAGGCCCGATGGACGCCTCGTCTTCTTGTCCTCGTCGACTTTCTCCTTCCCGACCTGAGCGTCGGCCTGCATGGGATCCTTGATCGGGCCGGAGGTCTTCAGGTTCGCCGCGTCCTTCTGGTTCACGTTGTCCCCGGTCGACGTCTCTTGCTTGTTGTGCTTCTTGTGGGTCGCAACCTCGGGCTTGCCTGCGCGATTGATGGTCACTTCCAAATCCCCCTGCTCCGGACGGGACCTCGGTGCTGGTAGGAACTGAGGATACTCCACGCCCTTCTTGACCATCAGCTTCTGAGCTTGTGGAGCTTCCGGTGCCTTTGATGATGAGGCGCTCGCTGGTGTTCCCAGTCTTTCCCAGCGTGCCCCACACAACAGGCATGTCCACCACGAGCCGTGACGATTGGCTCTGCACCGTAGGTGTTCCGCTGGGTGTTGGCATTCCTTCACTTCCAGGGCCCAGTGCTTCTGTGCCAGCGACCTCGAAAGTGGTTTTCCGATGCCCTGAGGGATTTCTCTGTCCGGGTCCTTGGACTTCTTGACTTGGGACCTCTTGTTCTTGGTCTTGACGTGCTCCTCGTTCTCGGCATTGTGCTGTGCTTTCTTCGCCATGTAGTCCACCACTGCCTGTTGGCGTGCGGCCGCCAGCATCGTTGAGAGAGCCAGCACCATCCGCCTCCAGACATGGACGCACTTGGTAGTCCCCATCTTCTTGACCTTCTCCTGGTCGCCGTCGCTGTCCAAGCAAGCCATCTTGTCGATCTTCCGCCGTAAGTCCATGGCTCTGGAGAAGTGCCCAAAGAAGGGGAAAGCGAATTGCGGGACTCCGTGTCCACTTGAGCATGTTGCTGCCACGGCGACGTGCACAATTCCACCAGGATTGCCGCAATGTTCGAGGCATGCAAATCTCATGGACAGGGGCCTGTTCATCAACTGCTGGGGCCTCACTCGGAGCCTCGATGGCGAAAAATGCGCAATCACCCTTAGCAGCACCACCCGTGTAGTTTTCATCGACATCGAGGTCACAGTCGGCAGTGCCGGTGACATCTGTACGCAAGAACGAACCGTTTCTACTTCATGGTCTGCATGATCGCGGTGCCCAGTCCCTGACTGAAACGTCGATGCTGAACTCGGGCATGCCGGCGAAGCTGAGGCTGCAAAATGCGCGCCTTCATAATCTGCAGGCGAAGATGGACTCTTCGTGTCACCACCCGGAGAGGAATCTTCGTACGGCGCACCCGCATTGAATGGCTGATCGAGTTGCGGGCGCCGTTCCTGAAAGTACACCTGCCCATGCCAATCTTGAGGAAGAGCTCCATGAGCCTGAGGTGCATTCCATAGGTCCTTCACCCGCATGACATGGCCGTCTCGGTAGACCACATTGATGTAGCGATCGGGTAGTAGGTCCACTTCTTCACCCAGCTGACATTCTGCCGGAGTCGGCAAATGCCGTCGCCATCCCGGCAGCACTGCGACGCGCTCCACGCGATTGTTCTTGTCTCTCAGCCAAACCTCCAGAAATGGGTTGGCTGCAAAGAAGCGTGACAAACCTTGAGGTTGTTCTGCATGAGATCTGGCCCTCGTTGGTGTTCTGGATCTGGAACCGTGCCGTCCTGGAGGTTCGGAATCGTGCTGGGCAGGTAGCGCATAAGGATCCCGACCTTCCGAATCTCTCAAATTGTCTGGCAGCTGCCATGCACACATGCCAAAGTTCAGGATGTCGATTGCCCGATGTCCGGTGGGCAACCTAACCATCTGATCGGATCGTCCATCCGGAAGGTGATACCTGCCGGTGTCAAAATTCACTATGGCTCGAACCGCCTCCAGGTAGCTGACCGGCAAGAGGGGTGGAGTTTGGAAAGCTTCCGAGTCCTGGATGACCGTGAAGCGAATGATGCCGTTCACACCTGCCACATTGGTCGGAACGTCCACCACCTTGCAAATCTCCGCCTCTCCTCCAATGCCGGCGCATGGCAGATGCCTTGCCGATTTCACCACACGAGGCCTAAGGTTCCAGTTCCTCAAACTGGATTCCAATCTCGCAAAGGCCTCACTGCCACACACAGCATCCTCCGCAGCGGTGTCCACCAGGGCCTGAAAATCCTGACACCTCACTCCTGCGAAGATGCTAATCCTCCTGACCAAGGGTCCATGATCTCGAAGTGTTTCGGGAAGGTCTGCAGGTTCTGCTTGGTCGAGTCCCTCGGGACTGTCTGGTGCTACACGCTCGGCACGATCGGGCGGCAACCTTCGTCGACTCATCATGAAAGCCGTCGATTGATTTGCACCCGAGCTCACGATGAAATTGAGCTTCTTGTCCTTGCCTCGATCTCCCTTGCCCCCTCCATCGCCGCCTTTGAGGAGTGGACATTCTCGAGCAAAATGGCCCAGCTCATCGCAGTTGTAGCACCTTGTCCGCGACTGCAGATCCTGATCCGTACCCTTAACCACGTTTCTCTTGCCTTTGTTGGACTTGCCGTACTTGCCGTACTTACCCTGCTTGCCGTGCTTGCCGCGGAAGCCCTTGTCGCGCTTGGATTTGCCATAGCCTTTGCGATGCTTGACGAAGCCACGTTCTTTCCGTCGAGCTTGGAGATCACGACGTACATCCTTGTAGGCAGTGTGATAGGCCTGAGTCCACGTTGCCTCCACCTCGTCGTACTCCTTGTCCTCGAAGAGCATCATATCGTCTTCAAGCTCTTCGTCAGGCATGAGTTCTTCAGACTCTTCACCGCCCTCTTCGTAGGCATAGTCGTCCTCATAATCCCACACATCTTGATCCGCCGAAAACTGCGTGGCGAAGGCCAACTTCCCAGGACCTCCACCGACTTGTCCCATGTCCTGACCAGCTGCTTTGGCGATCATTTCTGGCCTGTCCAAGGGCCTCAAAAGATCCGCAACTTGCTGGAAGGTCAGGAATTGCGATTGGTCCTTCAAAGAAATAAGTTCCCGTTGAACGTCAGACAGATGTGCCTGTCGCAGTAACACACGTCCGGTGATCTTGGTGTTTACTGCGTCGCCAAGCTGCATCTCCAATTCCTGTAGCGCCAGCTCCTTGTTCGCCACAAAGGTTGTAAAACTCTCTCCCTTCTGACGGTCACCCGCGTAGAAAAACTTATCCACTGAAGAGGGACCTTGGATGTCCAAATACGGCCGGTAACAATTCACCAAGGCAGATAAGATCAACCCATAGCCCTCCTCCGTCAGCATCTTTTCCACGGGGATGGAGTCTGCCAGGCGCCTAGGAGGGGTCTTGTCCGTGAAGCTCTGGTACAACTTCAAGCCCCAACGCGCCCTCGGAAGCGTAGTCTCCAGCTCCCAATGACTCAGGAGTTTCAACCATGTTCTCAGTGACGAAGGGTTTCCGTCCCACGCAGGCAAGCTCCTCTTTTCGCCAGATAAGGCATTCACCATGGCCTTGATCAGCTCGACTTGACTTGGCTGCGTGGGTGTCTGGCTTGATGCTCCCGGTGCTGCATTCGGCATTCCCAAAGCTGCAAAAGCTGAGTCCACCTTCTGATTGTTTGCCACATTAGCCGGTTGCTCAAAAAGAGCTCGTGAAACTGCAGCTGCATTACCAAATTGACTTGTACCCATAGGTAATCCCGTTGCACGTGCTGCAGCATCTCCTTGATTCATACCTGAGGGAAAACCCATCGCGCGTGCTGCAGCATCTCCTTGGGCTCGTGTAAAGGTCTCTGTAGGCGCCGTAGTAGCATAAAAACCCGGAGGGGGCCTTAGGCCAGCACATCCGAAATTGGGCGGTACGCCCGGCACATTGCCCACGTTGGTAAACTGTGGTCCAAAACCGGATGCAAATCCAAACTGTTGTCCCTGCTGTGGCCCGAAACCAAAAGGGAAGGATGATCCTTGAGGATTTCCTCCGTAAGGCAAACTGCCAAGGCAGACCGAGGGATTTGATCCGCCGCCGACTTGTCCACCTTGTGCGCCTGACTGAAATTGCGCCCCGACTCCAAAACTGCCGTTCGGCATGAAGGTGCCAGGTGTAGGCATAGCGCCGCTTGCAGATAAATTCGCCTGTACCGACCCGGCCGGCATGTTGTGACCTTGTCCATGTGGTTGCTGTGACTGAGCTCCACCTCCCTGAGGGCCTCCGACAGATGTCGGGTTGCCACAAGCCACCTGGTTCGCTAAGTAAGCTGCCCAGGGGTCCATGGCGCCAGCCGGACGTTGCCGGCTCCGCTACCAACTGACAACAAAATGCTGCTATTGGCACTTGTTTTCCTAACGCATCCACGTGACTCAAGGCCTAGAAGGCAGCGGGCAGACACATGCAAGACTCCTAGGCATGTGAAATGATTCTCACACCTCATCTGCTGAGGGAAGAGCAAGCTTTTTCCTAAGTGGCCTAATCATGGTGTCATGGATCACTCCAAAAACATGCATCTTGCCGGGGCGCCGGGTCCGGCAAGTGGATTTGCTCCAGGAAGTCCGCCAGCACCAAAGGGATACCCCGCAGCAAATCCTCGCGCTTCTTCACCTCGGCCTCTGGGGGGGGGGGGGGAGGTGGAGAAATCACCTCAAACACCTCAGGATCCGGTCGCTTCAGCTCGTAAAACTGTGGCTGGCTCGTCATGTTGTTGGAGTTCGTACCCTTGTTTGAATGGGCTTAAAGGGGAACCACCAGGAACCACGTGGATCCCCTAGAAAAAGACACCCTGGCAAACGAGAAGAGCAGTGCTGCTCTGGATTCACTGGTGAACAGCGACTCTAAGAATTCATGGCGGGTCTTTCACAGACGCACTTGAAAATGAGCTCCCACTCGCCTGCACAGTGGCGCATTTTGCATACGCGTCCGCCAGCTCCTGTCAGCTGTGGGATGCCAAAAGCAGACAGGATTTTCAGAACCGCCCTATGTTGCTTGAGCTGTTGCAGCCAACCCTAAAAAACCAAGACCCTAAAACAAGGTTGCAAACTGGACCTGTGTGAATCATGCCCTGATGGCCTTTCAAGAGCAAAGGAAACTGTTGCCATTTGGGGCTGCTTCCTATTTTCAGAACCCCCCGCCCCTAATGTGGGTGTCTCTTTGAGCCCCTTCCCCAAAGAAAAACACACACAAAAAAAAGGACAAGTTGCTTCTCTTGTCATTCAAACCCACCCAAAAGCACACACCACCACCCCCTCCTCCCCCACCCCACCAAAGAAAAACAGTTGCTTTCCTTGTGGCTCCCCTTCAAACCCACGAAAACAAAACATAAAACAGGGAGAAGAAAAAAAACGCCCACTCCCCCCCCCCCCCAGCTGGCCGCTCCGGTCGCCGGTCGAACCCCCGCCTCCTCCAGGCGCTCCGCCTCGGTGGCCAGCAGCTCCGCGGCCGCCAGCTCCGGCGCCGCCGCCTCCCGCAAACGCAGCTTCTCCTCGCGAGCCCAGCCGACGGGGGCCGACGCGTGGCTCGGTGGCTCCGTGGCTGAAAAGCATTTGCCTCAGATCAGAGGTTGGATGCGCCTTTTGTGGATCCACGTTTAGGAGGGCTTTGGAGGCTGGGGCATGCATACACCCGGGTATGTGTCACAAGAGGTGTGTCCAGAATCCCTATCAAATGCCGCGTGGCTCGGTGGCTCGGCGGCTCGGCGGCTCCGTGTGAAAAACCGAGGCGTCGCACAGAGAAGCCCGCGGCATGGCATTTTTCTCCGGAAGAAACGGATATTTCGGGCAGCTTGGGGAAGCTTGGGTGTGTGTGTGTGTGTTGCATCAAGTGGACACCAGCATTTGTTTGGAGGGATTCTGGACACACCTCATTTGACACATACCCGCTTGTATGTATGCCCCAGTCTCCAAAGCCCTCCTAAACGTGGATCCACAAAAGGCGCATCCAAACTCTGCTCTGAGGCAAATCACAAAAGGCCTCCCAAGCGTGGTTCCTCTTGGGTACGTGGGGACTTGTGGATACGGCTGCCGCTATCACGCTCGCTGGGAACGAGTGCCCCCCCGCCCCCCCCGGGGCCTCGGTCTTGACGAGTGTTTCCTTCACCGCTGCCAGCTCGGAGACGATCCTTTGAGGCGTCTCATGATCGTTGGCCATTGCCCAAGGGGTTTGCAGGGATCCTTCCTTTCTGGAAACCATCCAAAACCCAGGGGAAACACCCGGTGTTTGAAAAGAACGATGGTTGGAAAGAATGGAAAAGGAATCAACCTGCTGTGATCAAGGCGCAAAACTTAAGCATCAATACCGTCAATTAAGGCCAGGGCGTGTTCTCTAAATCGTTTTGTGCTTCTTCTCATTTCCTTTCAACACAAATATTAATATGTCCAGAGTCATAGATCCCTTTTAAAATCAACTTGGCAAATTAAAAGTAAAAGCTTGAGCAACACTTACAGCTTCTTGCACACTCTAATTCGCATTTCTCCAAGCTGCTGCGTCAGCTCTGAGCGTAGTTGGTGATTCTCAGCCTCCACCTCCGGCACTCGCCGCATCTGCAGCTCCACTTGCCTCGTTGCAACCCCCGCAACGACCCGTGGGACACGCGATCCAACTCGCATTTGCAATTTCAAGCCTCTCTGCGCCAGGGAAACATTCCACCCGAAGCCTTTTTCTTCTCTGCGAGGGTGTTCCCCCCGAAGTGTTTTCAGGGATCCTTACATTATACACCTGAACATTGCCTTGTAAATGGTGGTGTCCTTTTTTTGTGTGGCAAAAAAACATGCTTCAAATGGGCAAAATGAATCGTTTAAGGAGCCCTGGTTTTTCTTCTTCCTTCACAAGAGTTGCCGAGGGGGCAGGCCTCAGCTCCTTCTCTGCAGAAGTTGGCAAGTTTGCTCACCCTGAAATCAGGAATTTCCAAAACGAAGTGCCAAAGGTGAGGAAATCATGTTACTCGTGTGGACGGTTCTGCTCGGGCCGCCCCCGAATTCGACCACTCTACACGTTTTGCTCGCATTCTGTGCCAAACATTGGTTGTGTTATTGTCCAACAAAACCAAAAGATGTCAGAAGAACTATTTGGCTCGAACTCGAAAGCAATTGTCCAAGCTTGCAAATATGAACATGTGGGGTTTGCTCTTTTGAAACAAGCCAAAAAAAGGATATATACATATGGTCAGGTCCCCCCCCATGAACTACCTTTTGTTCTTTCTTCATAAAAGACTGCAAAAACACTGTGTTTTTCCATAGTTTTTAGCTTTCTCGCCAATAAAAACAATAAACTATATATGTATATATAACTCAAAATGTGTATTTATATATATACATATATAATATGTATACATATATATATATGTGTGTGTGTGTATATTATTACGCACACACTGCCCAGCACCCACCTGGGTCCGCTGGGTCGGGGCTAGCAACCTTTGGGCTACAGGCTCCCACCTCTGCTTCTCTGTAGCCTCCACCAGCTGGGCGCCAGTCCGCGTGCCCGCAAGCTGCAAGTCTCCTGAGCTCAAATCGGCACCTTGAGACCAAATGGCCATGGCTCAAAATCCCAACTACCCCAGTAGTGAATTCACCTACCCCAAAATGGTACCATTGGTTTTGACCCACAGCCAAATACCCTCCCAAAGCTAAAAAAAGTGCACAGACGCCTGTAGAAAGACGAGTTTCCTCTTGGAAAGGGGAAATTTGTGCACTTCCCTGTTGGTGGGAGGGTAGGCGGCGGGTTGGGACCCTCCGGTCGTGTAAGACATCTTGCCAAGTTTTCTGGCTGATTCTGAGGACACATCCGTGATCAAGTTGCGCCTACGAGTCCTGTAGGGGGAAGATGTCAAATCACATGGGCGAGACAAGGTGGCAAGTTGATCCGCATGTTGCGTGCTGCCTCGTGTCGGATCTGAATATCCTTGGCCGCGATGTCCTGACGAGCCGCGTCCAACTCCTCCGCGAGCACAGCCTGAACAATGAATAACTTAGTGGATCTGCGTGACATGGGACTGCATCCCGAACAAAAAACACTAAGTGGATATGCGCATGATGGAACATCACCTTCACGATAAGGATAATTCGCCGCTGCGATTTGTTGCACAACTAGCTGACATGCCTTCCACGACGGGTAGGCACGCTCGAGTGCCAGCGAAGATTGCCGGCCAAGGGGCTGAGGAGGGGATGGATTCGCGGAACTGCAGTTGGGATCGCAGCCGTACCAGCTCCTCCTGGGTCAAACGACAATGCAAAGCTTCCTGATGCTCGGCTTCCCTGTCCTGCATCTTCTGACTCTCCTGGGTTGCCTGGCACGTACAGAAGCAGCCCAAGGAAAGCTGAGACGCCGTGCCTTGCTGATATCCGTCTCATACTTGGCCTTACCCTTTCGCAGAGCTGTCTCCTGCGAACCATCCGACAGATTGGCGTTTGACCGTTTTGGCCAAACATGCAAACGCCATCCGAAGGTCAAGCTGCTCGCTGTTTGATTGAGCTTTGGGGGCCATTGAAGTCAATTGATGAGCTCCAGACATGTGCCGACGTACCGGATATACTGTACCTGTACCGTTGTTGTTTGCCCTAATCGGCTAAAGCAAATCCCAACAACATGTTACCAGCAGTTAACCATGCGGCAACTTTCATTTCGGCGATCGGACGAGGAATGGCTGCTGACAAACTTATCCCCCGATGCTGCGCCAACTGCTCTAAGAAATTAAATAACTTCAAAGCTTTTTTCCCCCAGGAGATTCGTCTGACCCCCATGTGCATAGGTGTCCTTTTAGGGGAAATAGATGGCCCTGGTAGATTATTAAACCACCAGGCAAACCAGGAATCGCCATCTATTTCTCTGCCAAGACAACCAAAAAGGACACCTATGCCCGTGTGCCGTGTGCCTCATAGACTCCCTCACCCATGCTCCGTCCACATTTCTCCTGCTTCTTGATGGCCTCCAGCTCCGTTTGCACTCGGGTCACCTGGCCAAAACCAAACCCCCGCCAGCGCCGTTTTTGTGCAGTGTTTGGGTCTCTCTTTTTTTTGGGGGGGGGCCCCCAAAAAACACGGTGGGTTTTCCTTTGGTTTCCATCGTGCACTACCAACAGAGGGTTAAAACGACAAGTGCATTTTACCTCCAAACTCTTTGGTGCTCGACCTCAGGTGCCGCCTCCCCTCTCCCGCCGCGCAAACGCGCCCGCACGCTCCGCATGGATGCCTCGGCAGTGCTGAGGCGCAGGGCGCTGTCCAGCTCCTCGATCTGCTGCAGCGCGGAGCGCTCCCCGGCGATCTGCGCCTTGCGCGTCTCGCGCGTCGTGAGGTTTCTTACTCAAGGCTCATGGAACTAATCCACGCCAAAATCTAATCCATCTTTCTACTAGTGCTGAAAACTGTACCACTTTCATGGTGTCTCCACACCATGATCCAATCCATCTTTATACTGGTGCTGAAAATTGTGCGTAAGCAAGGCTTATTACTCAACTTTCAAAGTTTCTCCAAACCAAATGGAATCCATCTTTATATTGTGGAAGCCCCCCTGAGACAAGCGCCGCCTGGGCTTTGGCAACCGTGGCCCAAACAAAGCTAGACCGAAGTTGGCATGAGGGCAGAAGTTGACATGAGGGATGGAGACCGAGTCAAACCTCTTTCCAACAGCTGGCTTCCCCGAGCTGCTTGCGTTGATGCTTGACGCTTCAGAACTCGAAGGCGAATCGCTACCTTCGCATCCTTCGCACGTGCTCAGAGGCAACATGGGCCACGGAAGGGCACGACCAAAGCCGCTGCACATAGGCCTCAACCTCTTGAAAAGCTGATGTTAGGCAAGACTTCAACGAGCTTCGGCCATGGCCAACAGGTCCCTGCCTGCATTCTCTCGAGCTTCTCCGTCATCCCAGTCATCTCCTTGTTCAATCGCTGCACCTCGCCTGGCAGAGCCCCGGTGAGAGGCACCCCCTCCATGGTCAACACAGTGAGCTGAAGCTGAGGATGCTCGGCTGGCAATGTGCACCCTTTTGCTTCCCCGTCACAGCATGAAGGATTCATTGCCCAACACGTGGAAGCGGGTGATGCGCGGGGGGTCGGGCTCCGGCGCTTCCGGGAGGTTCCAGAAGCGGCTCCAGCGCTTCAGCCGCTCCTTGCGCTGCTGCAGCGCCGTCAGGACCGCAGCGAAAGGTGAGCACTCGGGGTCCCTGGAGAAGTAGTCGAACCAGCAAGCGTGTGCATCCACCTCCCCCTGGCACGACACAAGCGAAAAACAAAAAAGGCCAGACCAGACCAAACCAGCTCACAAAGGCTAGTTAAGAAATTAAAGAATCCAAGGAAGACGGGCACAGGCATTCAAAGCGCACGCCTTCATGGCCCTGAGCTTTTCCTCCGGAAAGGACCTCAGAAACTCGTAGAGCTCCAAGCCCACCATCGCCTCCGGCCACTTGATGCTGAATCGCCGCCAGTCCTCTGGCCATCGATTCCCATTGACCCCCCGCGGTACTTGGGACCCAAGACGGGCGGATGAAATAGGGCAGCCGAAAGGAAACCAATCATTTTGGGCCAAACATTTTGGGTGTCCCCCAAATTTTAAGAGATGGCCATGTGAGCCATGTACCGATCTGGGGGCACCAATTCTGCTCCGGTTGAGATGGACGAAACTCGGTGGATCGCGTCCATCCAGGGGAGGCATTGCAGGGCGGCTGGGAACCAACGACTCACAGGCACCTTCAATCAAACCCAAAGGCCCCGAGCCACAAGCAAGCCCAAGTGAAGCCCTCTTTGAAGAACCCCTACGGAAATGTGCATCGCAACGCCCCAAATGTACATTGTTGCAATTACCCTTTTTACCAGTTGAAAGTGCCCAGCACTTCTTTCCCGAGAGGGAAACAAACAAAACGACTTCTCTGCGAGGTGGGCGGCATCCCCCGCTTTGGCACTTGGACGAGGGGCAAGGTGATGCTGAAAAGCAACCTCATACTCGTCAGAGAGTATCACAGGGATGCAGCCGCAATGGATGCTCTCATACAGCTGGTTTGTCCATGGCGATGTGCCCGCAGGAATCAAGCAAAAGTGCGAATTGCCCTTGATCTCGAAGTAGTCTGGTACAAAGCCACCTCAGAGAGGTTCTTTGATTCCCAGGAGACAATGGTAACTCCGCCTAGGAAGCCTAGCACCTCTTGAAAGCACCCGATGATTGTGAAGGGCCGACCTTTTTTTGCGGGTTTTTTTTTCCAGCGCTTTTAGGAATTTTTATCCGTTCCATTTTCCGGTCACCTTTGGAGTGGTTTAAGGTGGGTCTAGGGCGCGATTAGGATTTAGGGTGGCTGGGGGTTCGGGGGGCCTGGTTAAGGGTGGGTTCGGCGCGGGTTTGGTTGGGGTCTTAGGTAGAGGGTGAGATGGAGCTTGGGTTGGCGCAAGGTAAGGGTTAAGGTAGGTTTCAGGCGGGTTTAAGGTGGGTTTAGTTATGAGGCTTCGGGTTGGTTTAGGTTGGGTTTAGTTGGGTTTAGCATGAGTTTGGGGTGGGCAGGCAATTGGTTTAGGGTAGGATGGGTTTAGGGTAGGTTGGGTGCGTTCGGGGTTCCTCTCATCCAGGAAGTCCTTGGTGCATGAACCGCCACCTTCACGAGGCTACTTGGCGTGTGCCTTTGTGAAACAGGAAAGGAGAATGACAGCAAGCTGAGTGACAGGCACCTATGCTCTTCTAGCGGTTTAGGGTGTTCAGGGTTGGTTTAGGGCGGGTGTTAGTTTTGGTTCTTGGGGTGGGTTCAGGTTCAGGGCGCGTTGGGGGGTTGGTTTAGGTTGGGCTCAGGGGTCTGTTCAGGGTTGGTTTAAGTTAGGTTCGGGGTGGGTGTAGGGTGGTTTAGGGTGGGTTAAGGATTCAGGGTTGTGGGTTTAGGGCGGCGTGCGGGTGTGTAGGTCGGTTTACGGGTAGGTTTAGATTATGATTGGTTTGAGGCTGGTCTAGGGTGTGTTTGTGGTTGCTTTAGGTGGGTCGGTTTAGGATTGGTCTACGGTGGGTTGAGATGGAGTTTAATTTGGTTGGGTTGGTTGAGTTGGGGAAAAAGGCGGGTTTTGTGAGGTTCGGATCGGGTGTTTAGGGTGTGCGGGTTCAAGGCATGTTTGGTACGTTTAGGCTCAGGGTGGGTTAAGGGTAGGTTTAGGGTGCTTGTGGTGGGTCGGGGCAGGTGTAGGGTAGGTGGTGGTGTGTTTAAAAAGTATACCGGGGGGGCTCAGGGTGCTTCTTGCTTGCTTGCTTGCTTGCTTGCTTGCTTGCTTGCTTGCTTGCTTGCTTGCTTGCTTGCTTGCTTGCTTGCTTGCTTGCTTGGCTGGCTGGCTGGCTGGCTGGCTGGCTGGCTGGCTTGCTGCTTGCTTGCTTGCTTGCTTGCTTGCTTGCTTGCTTGCTTGCTTGCTTGCTTGCTTGCTTGCTTGCTTGCTGGCTGGCTGGCTGGCTGGCTGGCTGGCTGGCTGTCTTGTGCTTGCTTGCTTGCTTGCTTGCTTGCTTGCTTGCTTGCTTGCCTGCTTGCCTGCTTGCCTGCTTGCCTGCTTGCCTGCTTGCCTGCTTGCTTGCTTGCTTGCTTGCTTGCTTGCTTGCTTGCTTGCTTGCTTGCCCGAGGGACTGGAAAAAAAATCCCAATCCAGCGGGAGAAAAATTCCCTAAATAATATAGCACCCGTTGTGAAGAGCCTCATTCGGTCTCAAATATGCGGCTTGCCTGCACCACATGGTTGTCTTGTGGCATGCTAGGCTTTGAGTGCGGCCTGTCGTGCTTCACCGGTGATGCGACGACCTTTATCGACTTGCCTTGGGGATCACTTGCACAGTGCGCAGCCAAGGTATATCATGACAACCGGCAAGGGCATGCCACTAAGCATCAAGCGCCCTGGCTCACGCCCCTGGCAGCATGTACAGGTGTCCAGCCGATTTCGGAGTGTGGCTGTTCAATTCCCGATTGGGTGCCACGCAAGCCTAACATGCTAAGCATGGGCTTTTGGGAAGAATGCGTTGAGGGCTCAACAAGCCTCTGTGCCCACTGGCAGGGATGGCAGGGCCCCTTAAGGGCTCAACAAGCTGCTGTGCCCGCTGGCAGGGATGGCATGGCTCCTTAAGGGCTCAACAAGCCTCTGTGCCCACTGGAAGCGATGGCATGGCTCCTGAAAACTCTCAAAATGATCTGAAACGAAAAAGCTTCAAGATGATCAGCCGAAGCCGCCCACATCCACACCCTCAAGCTCAGCCAGCTGCATGATCTTGTCCCGCACCGTGCAGGTGTGGTACACATCCTGGCGACCGTATGGTTTGGACAAACGCAGACAAGCGAACAAGCTGGGATACGGAGGGAGCGGGGACATAGGGGGATTCCCTTGGCGCCATTTCCCATAAACTTGGTCAAGGTGCATCAAACGGGGGAATCCTCCCGTGTCCCTGGTTCCCCCCGTGTCCCTGCTAGTTGGTTTCCCTGAATGGTGGCAATGACCAGGACACAGTGGACAGTGGACAAACGAATCACTCGGCACAAGCCACTCCCAGATCTGCATTTATTTGGCAAATGGGTCAACTTGCGTTAACCACGAAGGGGAATCAGCCCTCAAGCCCTCTGCCTTGTTGCCAGAGTAACTGCCATGGAAGGTCATGATCAGCTCTCGCTGCTCGGAGGGGCGATTGTGTCTTTGCATAGCTTTCAGCCTCACCATCCAGAGCTTTGACCCTCAAGCAGGAGAAGCAAGTCACCCTGGCAAAACGTAACGACCAGCCCAAACCGCGCATGGATCCAGCACGACTGTCACCTGTTGCCCCGTCGGCTTACACCGGCATGTTCAGAACGAAGGCAAGACAGAGCTCTGTCAATCCAGGCCGCCTTGCATGGTCCGTGTGGCCTGGGATCAAGATATCCTTCCAGGTCGAGGCGCAAGGCTTGATGTCACTGTATCTCCTTACAGGCTCGTCCCAAGTTGGACACTTGGACCTGAGTTGGCCAGAAAGCCATCTGCATCAACAGGCTTGATGGCCGCAAAATGCCGCAAACCCGACAAAGCAGTCTCAGCTCGATTGCAGGACACACATGGCCCCGAAATTGCGGCCGAGCATCTCCACCATCAGAAAAATCGCTTCGCTCCTGACCAGATCATAGGAGTCCCAGGCACGCGCAGACTGGCCATCCGGGAATAGAAAGATGTGGTCCATCTGCTTTTGCCGTCGGAAGGAGGGCTGAGCTGCAAGATGCTGCACCAAGGGATCCCAAATGAGATCTGCCGCCGCATCATCATTTTGCATGTTCTCCTACCGGCCATGGACGTCAAAATGAGGCAAGCCCATTACCCTGATTCGCCCGGCATGTGGGAACCTGCGAGGTAACTTCCACCAGCCAAAAACCATGCCGCCTTGGTGAAAAGGCAGGTGCCGTACACAGGAACATAAAAGAAATCCGCGTCGGAAGGATCGTCAACGCGGCAGCTGGAGCTCAGCAAATAGCGGTGGAAAAGGACCTTCGGGACAAGAAAGTAGCTGGTTACTTAAGTTGTTCAAATAACTTAAAGCACACTCACACGCACACGCACACGCGCACACAAAAAAAGCCAGGGCCTCTGTGCCCCACTGCCCCAGGGCGCATTCCAAAGGACGGGAGGTAAGGTTGTCCGGGACATCATACACCTTCAGGCGACGGCCGCAAAGTGCAGCTCAAGCTCAATTCGGTACAACTGCGCCTCAGCCTTAGCCAAGCTGCAAAAATCTTCAGGTGGGAGCCATGGCAGCTATTGGTTTCAGCTCCGAAAAGGAAGGGGTAAGTGTAGACAGTATCTTCCGCCCAGCGCTGGCGCAGCTCAGCCACCTCCTTCAGACCCTGATTTTCCAGGGCTGAGGCTAGGCGCGAAGCCAGCTCGAAGAGTCCTGGCGCAAGGCTTTGCAAGCTGCAAGCTGTGCATATACTTGATCACGACTTGGCCGTGGTTGTCAAAACCAATGGTACCATTTTGGTTGGTAGGTGCACCACCCATTTTAGTCTATTTCAGAGGGGGTTGGGATGTTCACTGGGGGTACGGGCTTTTGACCCATGGCCACTTATGTGTTCAACTTGTGCTTGCTTACACGCCCTTGTTTCGCCAAGCTACGCAGCTACACACAACCCCTCCCAACCCGTAGAGGATTCTCAACACACCAGGCTATGCCTGGTGCCGCCCCATGAGCAATCTCAAAACACCGCTGTGACCATGAACAAGAAGTTCTGTCTGAGGTGGCAATCGCTAGTTTGGACGGCTTCTGGCGGTGAATCACCCTGGAAGTCACAGAAGCACTGCGACCGGCCTTGTCCATCTTCCAAGGAATAGTCCACAGAAGATGCAAGGACTGAGTCCATCATAATTTCTAAAACTGGAACTGGGCATCGCTGCAAGATCTCCTGCGAACAGAAACTGCGTTGAGCCGACGGTGCATGGTAGAGTGAACGCCCTACGCGTCTCTGCAAGTGCTTTGCGCTGGACAATGAGAATCGCAGCACACAAACCCTACCCTTCCGCAAAATCGTCCGTGTGAAGATACCCCAGGGCCACAAGCCATTGAAATGAGGAAGAGTCAAAACCGCCTCTGCGCCAAGCGGCATCCAAATGCGGCAAGAGTTTGTACTCGTAGATGCCATGCCTCGCCAATTTGCTGTCAATTGCCAGGGCCCAATTCGCCCTAAGGCGCGATACTTGTGCGACTTTCGCTGTCCACGGAAAGCCCGTGAGATCAAAGCCGCGCGGCAAGAGTTCTCGAGACCGCGCGAGGCTGTCCTCGCAAGCTTTGGTGTGGCACTTGCACAAACTACTCGGAAGTGACTCTGCTCTTGACACTCTGCGAACCCCCGAGTAAGGGAGACAGCGCCATTGACCCACAACCCTGCTCTCCCACTCTCATACCAAAGTTGATCCCCGCTGCCTCCTCATAGTTGCTTTCTGTTAGTGGCTCAATGCGCAGCTAAACACTGCTGGTTACACCCCGCATGAATGGAAAGCTACGTAGGGCCAAATCGCCACTCGCCAGGGTCGAAAACGACCTGTTCCCGCTGGACGTGGGAAGACTGGTGACGTGCATCCCATCCATCACAAGTCGCTCCGGTCGCTTGCAAAGGACAAGCATGTGGCATACGACAGGCACCCATGTGTTGCCCATTCTACAAACTGATCACCCAGGTTTGCTTTTGCGACTCAAAAAAAGCAAAGCGTGCCCACCAGAAAACAAACGCATCTGCATCCGAGTTGGGCACCAGATCTGCCACCTTTGAATTCAGATGAGTGTGCGTACTAGAGCCGCGTTTTTGTTTTGTTTTAAAGAAAAAGTTCCCCCGGCGTCCCGCTGGTACGCGGAGTGCCACCGCTCGTAGTGATCAAAGAAGGCCTCCGGAAGCCCAGCGTCCGGGAGGCCACCTGCCGATGGATCGGCGTCCAGCGAATTCCCCCGAATTCCTCCCCCCGGATTTTTTCTTTGAAAAGGGGCGGTTCTTCCTGGGAAACCCACCGGACTCGCTTTTTGGCGCACCCCTTCTCCACAGTTGTCCTTTTTTCTCGGGGGGGGGGGGGTCCTTCCTGAAAACCCAGATAAACCATGGGCCTGCCCATGCAGCCTCTAGAGTTGTTCCAAGGCGGAGTCCGAAGTTCAGTCCCGAATTCCGGCCAATATATATATATATATATGTATATATATATATACATCCGCACCCGCCCAATGAAAGGCCTGTGCACCGCGCAGCTGCGAAAGGCGACAGGACAAGAAGTCCCCATGGCATCAGCGAAGCGGAGTGTCAAAGACTCAATTGATGCCATTGAAATCCGTTCAAGTAGTGTTCAGCCCTAGGTGCCCCAGTTGGCTCGAATGGTTTTGAGTTTGAGGAACTCAGCATGTCCAGTTGCACTGTCTTCACAAAGTTTCCTGGGCTGTGCAACATGGAGGTAACTAGAAAGGGGACCCCTGGTGTAATCCAAGGTAAGGATCAAGGTCAACCTTGGAACAACCCAGGATTTCGAACGATTTGCACAAACAGTTCAGACCGGACAGTTCAGACAATGACTGAAAAAGGCCGAAAGGTGGAGATCAGATCAAGCTGGTGTCGTTTGCATGCGGCTGCGCAAGGGCCATGTGGTTTGCAAGATCGCCCCAATCCTTCTTGGATGTCTTACAATGTGCGTACAGTCACAGTCATAGTGGATTATGCATCTGCCAGTTTTCCTGCTGCGACCTGCTGCACTGCTGATGCCACAGCTGGTTCATGACTATGTGCGCATAAGCAGCTTGAGCCTAATACCTTGTGCACAATGGGGAGCGGGACATACACATGCTTCCGTCACCCCAACTAGGCATCTAACAACTGTCCCTAGCCATCTGCTGCATCATACTTCGCCGATTGGCCCGACCTTCCACCTAATGAAATTGCTGCATGCCATGGCATGCCCCGCAGTCTGGCAAACACATGGCTGTGGGTCACAAATTGGTACCCAGACTGGTGCCCTCGTGCATGGAACCAAGGACTAAAACCTGCGGTCCCCTGGTGGTTTGATTTTGACCCATACCCACATGGGCAAATTCTTGCCAAGATCCAGCCAGTCATGCAACCTGCAACCGCATCCAATTTTCTGCCTCTCGAGTGGCGCGTCTCCTCCTCGCTGAGGTGGAGCTTCACCGTGAGCCCGGCGATCTGCAGCTCCCTTGGACCATTTCCACTTGGCGTCACTTGGGTATGGGTCAAAATTCAACAACTAGGGGACCGCAGGTTTTAGAGCTTGGTTCCATGTGGCAGGGTTCCATATTTTGATTTGGGTACATAATTTTGACCCACAGCCACTTGGCCATGCGCTAGGTTTCTGTTGCGTAGCTGTTGCTTCCTCTGCCCTGGCAAGGAACAAACATACTCCGATCACCGGCCCTAAACTGTACATTCCATGCGTAAAAACGCGTGAGAGCATCGCGCGTTGCATGAGCGCACGAGGTAGCACTACCGCAACATGCAGTGCTAGTCAATGGAGAAAATGGTTGACCCCAGCCAACATGGACAACTAGGAATCCAGATCTTGTCTTCGCTCACTGTCACAGACATGCGACATCACTGAATCCACAATGGGACACAAAATACCCCTCACTGCATCCCAAGATTCGCATCGTTGAGATCCTTGGCCAATGCACAACAGTCCTCCTACAATTTGACATGCATCAGGAGCCATTGTAGCACCGGCTCATTTCTGTGTTGTGTAGGAACAAGGGTGGCTTTTAACTTTGTTCTTGCTGCGCTCTTGTTTCTGCGCCGTTGCAAGCAGTATCTGCGACAGTCAGGGGCGAGCAAAACCCATAAGCCCGAACAAACTGCGAGTGAAAGAATGCCGGCCGATGTGTCGATGGGTCGGGACTTTTCTCCTGCGCCTGCGAACAAAACTGTCGCAAGTTGGGCAAATCGATCGACCACAGACCACTCGCTGGACTTCCTGGAATGGCACTTGTGTTTTGTTGGCTAAATGTCCCCAGTTTGGCCAGCATTCAAGGGGTACCATTGGATGAAACCATGGGGCACCAGTGGCCTGCTTATTTCGACATTTGGCTTCTTCGAAGCCAGCGACGCGGCTGCAAATGCGCTCAGTGCAGCCTTTCCGACATCCAGGCTTGAGCGTCGTTCACGCACTTGTTAGTCGCCTACAGGGGAACCACGCGGGCCCAAGAGCTCACTGCCGGCCAGCACGTCTGACCAGAATGATTTAAGAATCATATGGCCATGGGTCAAAAGCAAAAGCCCGGATAGCCTCCCGTGATAAATCCCAATCCCCAATTCACCTACCCCAAAATGGTTCCCTTGGTCTTGACCCACAGCCATATGGCAATCTCATGCAGAAGCTGAAGAGGGGCCAAAAGCTTCAATCAATCATTGAATTTCTGAATCCAAGGCACCCCACGCGCTCAACTATTCATGGACGACAACGGCTGTTGGCAAATCGCACCTCTATTTGCTCCGGTGTCCACTGGATGTGCTCTGTGCAGCCCGGAGTGCAGCACATCAGCTCGCCGTGCCACACGCCGTCATAGAGCCTCGTGCAGTATGCCCGACATACCGTGGATGCACAATATCCATTCGCACTTCGCACCACTTGGAAACCATGAGAAAATATATTTTTGTTGGTATTTACAGGGGAATCATCCTAGCAGGGTTTCTTGGGTGGTGCAGGACTTCGCCACGGTAGGGCCCAGGAGTGGGGTCAATGTGCCATCAGCTTGTAGCTCAAACACATACGAAGGAACAAACTGCATTCACCCGGAACCGCACATGACCCCTTATACCCCTTGACCCTGGGGCGCGTTTCACATCTCAGCATCCTGCAAGGCAAGCTGCAAAAGTGTCTTGTCCTTGACAGCTGCGGTTTCTTGGAGCTTCTTCGATGTCGCCGGATCGGTGACCTCCGCTTCTCAACGGATGAAACCTCCGCTAGGCGGCCCTAGAGGCATCTCCTTAAGAAGTTAACAAGGAAAGACAACGACACAACACAGTTGGCATGATTTCCCAGTGGTTCCGGGATGGTCGAGGTACACATCACATCTCTGCGAATTACCGGGATGATGCAGTGGTCCCGGAAAATCGGCATGAATCACCTCGATTAATTAATGCACCCTTTTAAGAAGCATTGCTTTTCCAGAACCCCAATACTAAATTAGACTTAGGGGACACTTTAGAACCAGCACTTCACCAAGACCAAACCAATACTAAACCTCTACTCAGACAACATGAAAGCAATTCTCAAACCAATTCGAAGCCAACAGAAATCCTGGAAAAAATATCTGCTGCTTAAACTCCTCACTCGAACACTTCGGTTTTGAAGGACATTCGGGCGCTGGCACCCCCCCCAGATACATGAACATCGTTCCGCAAGACAAATATATATATATATATATATATATACATATATATATATATATATTTTTTGCGGACCGTATTTGTCCTCATTCGTTCACGTTATTTCCAAAACCCTGAATAAAGGATCCCTAAGTAAAGCACCTACATCCCGGTGCGCTCGTTTTGCCCCATGTGTGCTCGATTTGTGGGAAGCGATGCGCTCGCCGCGGCCTTCCTTCCAAGACCCGAGCCTTGTCACTGGTCCCGTGTTGCAGGAGGAAGGCCGTGCCTCGGTTGCTGTTGACCCCTCTGCAAAAAGTCTTAGACTTTTTGCGGGTTTAACGGAAAAACCCGTGAATTCCCAAAAAAGATCCAACCCAATAGCACTCAAGGCGCGCATGGATGACAGCTGCTCGTCCAGCCAATCGGGGTAGGTGAAGCCCAGTGCCAGGCCTGCGAACTCCAACCCGGCTGGATGGCTGGGCTGCGCCTTTGCCACACGCACAAAGGATGCGTGTAGAAAACCCTGGGCTGGTGGCCGGTGGTTTGGATTTTGGGAGCTGTTCTTTGAAATTTGGGTGTTGCGCACTCTTTGGGGAGGCGTTCAATCAAACTTTGGGCACCTGCAAGAAACCGAAGGCTCAGATTGCTCGCCTTCTCCCAAGTGGCAAAACGTGCGAGCACCTGCTCTGCATAGACTCTTTGCATTTGTGGCACAGTTTCAAAACACTGCGCACCTTGAATCCTAACTCAAAGGCTAAAAGGAGAATGGCACCATTTCCTCCGCAAAAGGACGCATTCACCATGTCCCGTCAATTCTGTTGGAAGCTCCTTACCTCCCTCCTTAGAGTAAGCTTGGATACCCCCAGCTCCTCGCTTGCAACCACCAGCTATCAGCTTCCCTCTAATTGGTGCTTTGGATTGGTCGTTTCCTGGCTAACGGGTTTCCCATTAACGAAAGCCAGGGGTCCCGAATCCCGCAAAAACAACCCAACCCACCACCTTTTGGTAACTTGAAAAATACGGTTCCTCCCCCCCCCCATTCCATCTCTCGTTGATTCCCTGAAGCCAGGAAAGCAACGGCCGAAGAAGAACTCCGGCCCTGCCTGTTCCGAGCCACGGGCTTAAGCCCTTCCTTAAATCGGAGGAAGGACACCATCCCAAAAATGTTTAAAATGGTTGGCTTTGAAGAGAAACCTCACTCCCCCCCCCAAACAAAAAAAAACTGGACCAACAAAGTTGACTTAGGCAACCTTCCACCAATAAAACAACTTAAAGAGTGAAATCCGCTGGGCAGCCCACACGTCATGACTCATAGCACGCGTGTCGAGTCAGAAATGCCGGGACTGCCACGGAAAGATGCAACCTGGAGCCTAACAAAACGACCTGCCCACTTAAGCCCTGCGTCATGTTGATGACGTTGTTGTCCATCAGCTGCCGGCCCTGGCCCACTTCCCGGAAGTCGTTGTCCTCCAAGGCCTTCGCAGGACGTCAGCTGACGACTCACGCCGAGGCGTGAGGGACTTAAGGGAACATGCCCAGCTTGAGCAGTGCAACAGCATAACAGCATGGGTCAGGCGAGGTCAAGGTGAAGGAAGAGAAGGGCTTGGGATCATTTTCACCGGCAAAGGCCTTCAGCTCAACATTGTGGCTGCAATCGGGCGGCATGAAATGAACCAGCGCCAAGCTCCACAGAAACTGATCCTTGAGCTAGCGCACCTTTGGAACACGGCATCCTCTGCCTTGACGGGCGTGATCGGCCATGTTGGAAGCAACGGGGCGATGATCCGCTTGAAAACCTGCTGCACCAGCCACGGCGGCTTCACATCATCGCTGACCGTAAGCATGGGGCACATGAGGATGGCACCTGGCTGCATAGGAGAGTGGAAATTGCAATGTGACAGTGGGTCTCTCTTTTTTAGGGTACCTCCGAAATAGTGGTTCTCGGTTTGGTTTCCCTTTAAACGGAGACTGAACAAATGCTAGGCTCAAACAAATGATGCCAGAGGCCACTGCCATACATCTGTTGGACATCTCCAAGGCTTACGGAAATCCATCAACGCAGCAAAGCAAAGTTATCTGGAATGCAAACGCTGACGTATAGGTTCCAAATGAGGTATCTGAAAACAACGGTCCGCCCCAGTTTCGGATGTCCAGTTCTGCATGCGTCGAGTCCTGCAACCAACAATCCATATTGAACCCTGGGGGGTTTCCCATTCAAGCGCAGGCAGTAAGCATAGATCCAAAATATGGTTTAAACACCACCTTTACAAGGGAAGAATCCTCATAACCAGTGGTTTAAACATGTTTAAACCAATGGGTGGCCCCACCCAACCTGTCGAACATAGCGCCGAATGGGCCCAACCTCGGAAGAAGCTGGGCCGCTGCAGACAGAGGCAGCACGCCAGGCCGCCGCCCAGGGATCCACCGGCAACAAAGGTGGGCGGGCAAGGCTTCGGAGCCTCCTCCGCGTGGACGGAAACTCCAGTGGACGTGCATGCCTTTGCTTGTGTGCTTCTGTGCTTCTGTGCTTCTGTGCTTCTGTGCTTCTGTGCTTCTGTGCTTCTGTGCTTCTGTGCTGGCGTGCGTGCGTGCGTGCGTGCGTGCGTGCGTGCGTGCGTGCGTGCGTGCGTGCGTGCGTGCGTGCGTGCGTGCGTGCGTGAGTGAGTGCGTGCGTGCGTGTGTGTGTG